CAATGCCTTATTTTAAAATCACGTATAAATACGAAAATCAATGTTTGATATTATAAACCGCATGAGCAAATCAAGACATTGAATTTTAAAATTGCGTGAATACGAATCGCTACATAGGTTTTTAAAAAGGTGTAACTACGAATCACAATATCGGATTTTTAAATCTCGTAAATAAGAATCGCAACATACAATATTCAAATCGTGTGAATAAGAATCGCAATGTACAATATTCAAATCGTGTGAATAAGAATCGCAACATGCAAATATGAAAAGCTATGTTTGATATTAAAATCGTGTGAATAAGAATCGAGATATTAGCAGATTCCAGGCTTGGGACCCCTAAAAGGCTTGTCAGAAGCAGCGTCGTTTGAACTAAAAATCGGATCTATCTGGAGGGCGGGTAAAAAATTCGGAAAATCTTATCTGCTGCGAGTAAAAGGGGAGAAAAGAGCTAAAATGAGAAAGGATTGGTGGCTATGTAGTTTGAATTTTCTGTTCTCTTTGAAAATGGGTGAATTTTCTGAAAAAGCGGAATACTTATAAAAAAAGTGAAATTTTTAGAAAAATCTGAATTTTTGATAAAAAAGCTGAAATTCAAAAGATAAAAGTGAAAAAAGCGGAAATCCGCTAAAAAGCGGAAAAATCTCATCCCTGTTAGAATTGTCTAAAAATACCAGACAAGGTTAAGGTTACCTGCTTTGTCAACAAATATGGATGATGGCTAAGAAGGATTTGGGGTCCAAATAGGGACGATGTTCGGAGGTTTATTATCTTGGATCAGTTTTCAATTCATAGAACTACAAGTCTCTCTGAAAAATGAAAAAGTCTGGACACAGATATAATTTTAATTCTGGTAGGGTGCACAAGCTTTCTGCAGCCAGCAGATATTTCGTAGATAGAGCCCTTTAAAAGTAAGTTCATTAAGAGAATGGGTGCCCTTCATTAGGAATAAACAAAAGACTCTTGCGGAGAAGTCAAAAAGACTAACTCGGCAAGATGTGATTGGTTTCGTGTCAGCCGCTCTGGAGGTCGTCTCCGAAGAGACGATCTCAAATTCAGTTATGTGTTGTGGTATTTCCAATGCACTAGATGAAAGTGAAGACGGGCTTTTCCATTCTCGATTAGCAGAAGTTAATGTTGGATCTATAGACAATGATATCACCGATGAACTGAATGAAGAGTGTGTTAACCTTATTTTAGAGGATGACTCTGATATTTCTTTCTATATATTTTTGGATTCTGATCTCAAATTCATTTAAGTGTTGTGGTATTTCCAATGCACTAGATGAAAGTGAAGATGGGTACAGCAGAAAAATGTAAATAAATCTCCTTTCTTTTTTTTGTAATATTTTGTCATTCATATTTTTTTATTTTCTTGCTGAATTTTTATTATTTCACATATTTGCCTGTGCTGCAATCGTACCAGGATTTAAAAATAAAGGATTGCTGTAGAAGATAAGTTAGATTTACTAATTAAAATTTATATTTACTTCTTTTTGCTTTAATTATTTTTACTTTATTTTGTTTATTTTTTGTGATTCATAGTTAATTTTGCCCAATCAAATATAGTTGATTTTTTAATAACGACACTTTGCATTTTCTTCAGTACCCTTGATTCGCCCCTCTCTACAACACGGCGATTTTCTTAAAAATGGGGGGGGGGGGCACTTTATCCGTATTTTACACTATATATATGTCAGCTGCATAATTTTACAGGTGAAAGTCCTGTCAGTCAATTAGTAGATGAAACTACTCTTTTTTAATTATTTAAAAGTGATATGAAACTTACTAATATTTTTTTCCAGATACATCTTGCATAGATGCAGATCATTATCACATGATATCATTGCAAATTTCCTCTCACTCTGAAAATGTAAAATTTCAGTAAGATTTTTAAATACTCAAATTTTATAGACACAGAAACAAAATGAAACAAGTTGACAATACAATACGTATATTTATTTGGTCCACAAGTTCTAAAAAGATCGAAAGAAAGTTAACTAGTGCGTATCATGTGCATTTAAATGAAACAAAGGTAGGACGTTTATTTACATGACTGAATATTTGGTATTGAAAATCTTAGTGATGAGTGATTTTTTTAATTATTTTTTTAAACAAAATAAATAAAAGCTTAACATACTTCTTCAAGAGCCTTCACTTGCTTGAGAGTAGGAGCTTTCTTAAAAACAGGCTTCCCACCTCCTGATTCAATAATGCGTTTTAACACATCAGGTTTTGGTACTACACCAGCAGTGACGAAAAAGACATAGTCCTGCAAGATTTGTTAATTTGTGCTAAGAATCAAATGTAAAAATAGTTTAAAAATACAGTGTAAATTGTTTGGATAACTATTTGAATATGAAAATATTGATGTTTAAAAATATAGATCTAAAAGTTAATTATGATAGATTGTCAAAATTACTTATTTGTTTACAAAGTTGTTAATTATTTAAATATAAAAATTTGATTAAGTATAGAATCTCAAAGCTTTTCTAAAGACATTCATATTCTCAACATTATTTATTTGTGCACAACAATATTTTTACTAAGTTAAATATGAAAATATTCAAGTATTAAAATCATTAAAATATCTTTTAAAGTATATGGTAGAAAAAATTATTTTCATAGACATTCATACCCTCAATATTGTTTATTTGTTTACAGTAATATTGTTACTTATTTAAATATGAAAATTTTTAGTAAAATATATGGCTTCAAATATTTATTTTTAATAGACAATTATACTTTCAATATTACTTATTTAATTACAGAAAAGATGTTACTTATCTAAACATATGAAAGCGTTTAGTAAAACAAGCATAAAAGTATTATTTTGGGTGTTGAATACTAATGTTTGTGCGGTAATTCGAACACTCGCCCCTCATGATGTGATGTCCATCTTACAAAAATTTTATTACAAAACTGTTTAAGTTTATTACAGGCATGAGCTTTTGTTTACATGTCTGTTAAATTCAATTTGCTTGATATATAACTCAAAGAAATACATTATTTAAACGTTTCACAAACATAATGAAATTTTATATCAATGTGCCTATGATTATAAATAGGGCTCCTTCCAAAGTGAGTAACACATAAGAGTCAGAAATATAATTGGTTTATTTCTAGATAATCTTATACGATTTACACTACAATCATTTACAACATTTTTAAACCAAGTTAAATTAGTAACACATTGAGTCATAGATATGTATTATACCTCTCTACTAGAAAGACTTATTATTTCTTGCTCATTATGTTTTGTTTATTATGTTTTGTTCATTCCAATAAATTGGAAAACATCTCCAATTAACATAATAATTCCACTGTAACTTCCTCTTGAACACTTGCCCAAATAGTCTACAAATACACTTTTTAAATCAATAATTGTATTTGAAATATTTATTGAATAATTCTTAGTATAACTTAAATAACTAAATACTTGTTGTACAAGTGAAATATTCCTGTTTTGTTACAGTATTGTCATAATAAAATAGTGGAAAACATTATGTAGTTTCGATCTTAATGCAAAGAGCAATAAACATCCTATTATACTACAATACAATGTGGAATCTATAATTTAATCATCTTAATCATTAGCTTTAAGTACAACTCCTTGTGAAATGAAAACCTTTATTTAAAGTAGAATTTATGTTAAATTTTTCTAGTACTTTATTTAAACAACAATCTCGATTATTGTAAATACTACCACTTGCATATAATTACAGTTCACTCCCAAAATATTTCAAACTTCACTAAGATTTGAGATGCATAACCATTTAGAGTGAAGGGTCACTTGAGGACTTGGAGGTGGAGGAGGGCCGAACACGTATTTAGACATGTTAACGGCAAATATAGTAATATTTATTTAAACATTAAAGTTCTTAGCAGTAAATTTTTTTTATCAGTAAACTTAATAATATATTTTCAGAAAATTAAATGTTTTTAATTATTAAAATTCATTAAAAAATAATGAAAAAAAACTAACACTTTTTTTTAAAAAAAAAATTCCCTTTTTATCACATCAAAAACAGATTTATCAAAAAAAAAAAGTAAATAAATAAAAAAATATATAAGTAAAATAAAAATAAATAAATATTGTAGAAAATAAATTTTTTTTGTTTTAATCATATCACGCTATGCCAAAGTTACATTAAAATAAATTCTAACAAAAAAATAAATAAATAAAAATAAAACTGCAATGCTCACAGAATGAAAATATAAAAAAATTAAATATATATTAAATACTATGAATTCAAATTAAATATTTTAATTGAAGAAAATTTATAAGGTTTAAACAAAAGACTAACATAAATAAAAAAACCTTTATAGTTAAAAATAAAATTTGATACTTATTTAGTAATAAACTTCAGATATAATTTCTTTTTATTGAATTATTAGATTTTTTATATGAAAAAAGTTTTTTTTTTCAAAGATTTTTCTCTTAAAAAATTAATTAGGCAACAAGAAATTGAAATCAAAATTACAAACTGTGTACAGTTTAAAAATTTAAGTTTTCGTCCGCTTCCCTGCAAATTTATCTTCTGGAATGAAGTTCTCATGTTGCAATAATATTGAATTAAAATTAGGCATGAGATGATTATTTGGCTTTTTGTCAAAAATTCAGTTGGCCGAATGATCGACCAACGTATTTTTCGTAAAATTACTTTTCTAAGTACAATCTAAAATCGTATTTTTAATTATATTAGATATAGTATAGTTTATTATAAGAAACAGTTTTACACACATTTATTAAGTCTTAAAACTGATGTGCTAGCAAATTTATCTCCTAGAAGACAAATGGAAAACTGAAGAATTGAAACTAGATTACTTTATACTGAACCACAAGTTTTTGTACATATGTTTTTCTTTAAAAAATATATTCAGACAAGTCAATTTTGTCCTTTTTTTCAACACTTTTAGTTTTAAGAATTGAAAATTATTTTTTGGTTTCGTTATCATTTTTGCTGTTTTAATTATAGCTGGGCATTTTAACTGAACATTTCAGAGAGACTATTTGTTTATTGTCACTCTACTGTCATATAGATAACTGGTAACAAAGGAAACTGTTATTTTCAATGCTGAAGTTTTGTTTTAGAGACTCATAAGAATTTTTTTCAATTTTTCTTTGGCTTTTTCTTAATTAATTTTCTTTGTATCTGCGTTTTCATCATGACATAGCATTTTTCACATAGCGTTTCTAGTGAACTTTATTTAATAGCAATTTTTTTCTAACATTATGGTAATGTAAAAAAGTTAAATTGAGATTTCAGCAAAACAGTGGTTTTAGTCGCCTTTTTAGGTGCCAGGGGCATCCCTAATTTTACAATTGTTTGCTACACCTAATTTCAAAAATTTAAAGAAATACACATTAAAATTGAAAACTTTATTCTTACTTTAAATATGGGTATCCGCTCTTTTCTTTTCAGTACAGTTTTTAAATGGAATCCAAAAAGCTTTTCATTTTCCTGATCACTCAAAATAAAATCTTCCTCGTCTGGAAAGAGGATTAATAACAATCACAACAATGTCACTAACATTCAGGCATAAACAAGTTTTATAAATGGTCATTTTCTGGTGCTTTTTTTTCAATGTCAGAAGCTTTGATAGAATAAAAATAAACATATTGCTTACCTATGAATTTATTTTGTTTTCCTGACTCTGTGAGCCATTCTGGAGAGACTACATATTTCACAAAATGTATGGCACTTAAGAATTTCACAGTTCTAGCAAAGTGATCAGCTACAAGATGGGTACAATCTAACTCATTCTTTGCTAAGCAGCCACCCAATTGATATACAATCTAAAACAAATTAAAGTAAATGATAAATTTAAAATAGAATACATGCTTTGAAAATGCTTGCATGGAACAGAATGGATACAAGGTTCGGGTAACCTATTGGCTGATACCATACTTGTTTTGTTGATTCCTTCATTAAATTTATTGTTATATAAATTTGGGTCTTCTTTTATTATTGTTTCACTGAACCATTGCCGCAACACATATATGTTTAGGAGCTACAAAAACACTGTTATCATTTTTATTTATATAGCTACTATCAGAATGTATTTGTAAAAAAAGAGAGTTTTTAACTATTCTCAGTATAAGTTAGAGCTTAAATATTACTGATGCTATAAATTTAATGAAATATTATGTGCAATTATTTTACTACTTAAAAAGTTATTTTTCTTTTCTTTCATATGATTCCTCTGTTAGAAATGATTCAGTAATGTAGTTGTACATAGATAAAAATATCGTTGTATATAGAGATATATAAAAAAAGTAAATTACGCTACCAAGAACACTTTAATAAAAACCTGAATTATTTTTAAAATCTACAATGTCCGAAAATTTTACTGAAGAATTTATTAAGGCAGAAAATAAACCTTAATTTAAATTTAAAAAAAACTTTTTAAAATTTAGATTATTTTACATTGTTATCAAAATGCACTCTAAAATAAGACTCTCAAAATCCTGTATGCTTAAAACTTGAAGTATTTTTATGTTCTGTTATTGGGGCTACATTCATCAGTCTACAATTATATGGTTACTTTTTCACAGCTTAAATAGAATCGCATATTTTATACATAATCATTTATATTTATCATTACAGATTTTAAAATAAAAAAAAAGCAGTTCAGATTTACATTTATCACCAAATACAAGTAAATCTCTATTAAGGAAATTAAAAATAAAGCAAACAATAGAGTGAAAATGTATACAAAAGACACAAGCAGAGCCAGGAGCTTAATTAAGAAACTGCTTACGAAACTCTTCTCACCAAAATATAAGGTCAGAATAACAGTTCTTAAAAAATATAAACAAACCTTTGCTAATTCCTTGAATTTAGATAGACCCGTAATTATAACTCTCGGCTTTCTGTCAGTGTCAGGTGGATTCTGTGTGGTCAATGGAATATTTTCATCCAGTTCAGGTGAATCACTTCTGCAGTAATGAAAGTATTTAATAATTCAAAATCCATAATAAAACTTACATAATTTCACAAAATTACATCATAGATTTATTTTCCTAAAACAATTTAAATTCTTTTTTTTTTTTTTTTTGTAAACATAACAACTTATAGCATACATGATCGCAATATAAAATATTTAGATAATCATAAGGGATTTTTCCAAGTTTTACCATAAATAACATTAGCACAATTCAAAATTTTGAATTTCTGTATTAGGTCATGTTTTAAGTAGCAGAATAAAAAAATATTAGATAAAAGGTAGAAATCACTTTATAACTTATGGTCTAGAATAGATACCTGAAGTTAAGTTGAGTTTCAACTGCCATCCTGAATGTCTTGTGTGTCTGGACAAATAAAATAGTTTTTTTCTTTTTTCTTTCTCTCAACATTGAATTGAATGAGAGAGAAACCAAGTAGAAAAGACTTATTGTCAAGCATCAATATGTTATAAAAATACAGATTCTGACTTTTAGTAGTTTAACACATCTGTCTTTCTAAACAAGTGAGGCATTGTTTCTAAAGTATTGCTTAATGCTGAATAGAATTTATGAAAGTTATATAGTTATAAAAGTTTTTATGTATAAAGAACAAAGTTTTGTACTTATTTATGTATCTGACATTGCTCTCTAGATAACTGAAGTACTGTTTCATATTTATTGATTTATGCTGAACTGAAAGAGATCAACACCAAGTCTATAGAACAAGTAGATCAGAAGTCAAAATTTATACACAAAACCTTTATTAACTATTCTCTATTAATTTTATCAAAAGTCTGAGGTACAATCCTTAATGTTGGCCTCAGATGGATGGGTACTAGATTGAGATGGAGTATCTGAGAAGTTAAGGTGCCTAATGCAGGCCACATTACTACAATCGTGCCATTGGTCTCAAAATTAAGATGAATCTCCAAATTTCAGTTTGTCACATTTTGAAACCCTTCTTTCTCTCAGTAAATTCAAAATGGCAGCCAAAGCTCACCTCATAAGAGAGAGCAAACTTCAAATAATCCTTAATGAAACTTTAATTGGAACTTTTCAGGTTTTTTTTGTTTTTGCTTAGGAATTGATCTACACAGTTTCAAGAAAGAAACAATAAATTTAGTTACCTCAATCGTTTTGATTCATTCTCCTCATTTTCACCATTTTCAATTTCCCTTTTTTTCTCATCCTGAAAATAAGATTTAAAAAAAATAATAATAACTGTAAAAACATCATTTTTCAACTTTTAATAACTTAACCAGGAAACAAATTATGAATTTTCTAAATTCAGCAATAAAAATTATTAAACTATAAATAAATTCATTGGAAATATTAAAAAAAAGCAATCCTTTTTTTTTCTTACACTCACAATATTTCTCTTAATGTTGTATATTTACTTAGCACATTTAAAAAAAAAATGATACTATACATTAGAAAGGATATTATTTAGAATTACATTATTTGAAGACTTTATTTTTATTTTGAAACATAATTTTGTTATATTGTAAGCTTGTTTTAAGCCTTCTTAGAATAAACATTTTAAACAACATAGTGTGCAGCAAAGATTTTTTCCTACGCATTTTAATAAAGTTATCAGCTTAAATATTTTTACTTTGAATTGATACTTCACATTCTTATACGTAAGTATTAAGTTTCTGCCATTTACAGTATTTCAATAGCACTACAACATCATATGATAAGCAAAGTAAATTATAGTACACAAAAGACAATAAGGTATTTGTAATAAAGTAATATCTGTTTTCTCTACAGTTTTAATTCACTTTACATGCAAATTAATTTACTCTTCTGTTATTATAGTCACAATTACCTTATTAATTAGATATAGTCAATAAGTAACTAATCAGTGGTCATTAAATCAAAACTATGGTACTTAGAAAATTGGAGATGGATCTTAAATGTAGTTGCTGCTTTGACCATACCTAGATCAGCAGTTCCCAACACTAAATAATTAACCTTCTTTCCGTCGAACCCCGATTTTATAAATAAAGTTTATAAAGGTAATTGTGTAAACTATAATCTATGAAAGACTATTTTTAAAATATTTAATTAGTAGAATAAAGATTTTTTATTATTAGAATCTTAAATTAGGTTTCATGTCCGACAGTTAAATTTTCAGTTCTTGTGCTATGCCTAGTCTAACTATGAATTTGTTTTTGGTGTAACATAGAAAAGCTGAAAATAAATAAAACAAGCCATATCATGGTTTACTTTGAAATGAAAACTGCTATAAACATTGATAATGGTTATTAGAGAATCATTTTTCTTTATTAAAAAATTTTGTAATTTTATTTTGATTTGAAAAGCGCTAAAGAAAAGACATGCAATATTTTATGAATGTGTATTCTTTTCATAATTTGTTAAAACAATATATTGCTGCAAGAAACATTATATTTTCCTTTAAAAAACGCAAAAAAAAAAAAAAAAAAATTCAATATTTTATAAATACTTGTTTTTTTCATAATTTGTTCAAGAAATATTATATTTTCTTTTAAAAAAAATGCAATTTCTATTTCATTGGAATTTTTCTTAAAATATATTCATAAAGGAAAGTATAAATAAATTTTGAATTATAGTTTGGATCTAAATATAATCAGAGAACTCATCACTTGTTAGAAACTCTTCCACAGAACACTAATTGCAGATCGCAGTTTTGTGCAAACAGATAAGGCCAGTTTTAGCATTTTTTAAAAGTGGCCATTCTATCAAAAATTGAATACTTTAAACGATTAAGGAAACTATTCATATTAATAGTGTAGAGTATTTCGTTTTAAGCATTTCTTAAAATATTGTAAACAATGCAAGGTTTATAACTGAAATTAATAAAAATTTTAATAAATTTTTTTCTTCAAATATTATGAAATATTTTAAATGAAATGAACAGTATTTTGGTTCCCTCAGAGAAGATGCAAAGAACAATGAAATCCAAAAGAGGTAGCGCCGATTATCCGAACTGCTCGGGACCGAACGTGGTTCGGATAATTGGAAAGTTGTTTAAAATCTAGTTTAAATGATTATTATTTATGCACTAACTTCACACTTTTTTCAGATTTAGGACTGGTAGTAATATCTAAAATAGCTTAGTGCTTAAAAGCCTTTTTTTTTTGTTCAATTTTAAAATATTTTTTATTTATTTATTTCATTTTGAATATTTTTAAATCACATTTCAGCTTTTTATAATTTTTTGTCAATTACTGATTTTACCACGTTTTTCTTTATTTTCCATTGCAAAAGAAATCCAGCAAAGACTTTTGTTTCAAAGAAGATGCTCTTTTTTGAGCAGCCGTATCCCTTATTTTTTTTAAATAAATCAACTGAACTGGAAAAACATCATTTTGACATAGCCAATTCATTGCAATAGCTAATGAATTGCATGCTTCTATATGAGAAGGTCCACTATCTTGAACTTGATCCCCTACTTCTTCCTCTTTGTATGTGGAGTTCCGATTTTCTTTCGAAATTTCTGCAACAATTTCATCATCAGATAAAATCCTGGGTCGTTTTCAGTGTCTCGACAACAGTCTTCTATTTCTTCTGTTGTATAACCTGACATCTTGTTGTATAACCAGAAGATCTAATGGTTCAGAAACTTCAATTTTGCTTGTTTCTCTGTTAAGAATTTTATTCCAAAATTTTCTAAGAGTCAATGCTTTTACTAAATTCCAGGCATTCACTATCATCATGCATCATCAAAAAGGTTGTAAATTAAATATGGTCTTCAGACGCAGTGGATATTATTTATTCTTCTAAATTTAGAAAAAATGTCGATGAGTTAAAAAATATTCTAAACTTCAAAAAGAAAAGAAAAAAGGGAGAATTCGGTGATAGTTCAGATAATTGGATGTTCGGATAATAGGCGCTCTACTGTATTTGATTTCAAATTGAGAGAATATGAATCAGGATATGTGACTTTTAAATCATGTGAATATGAAACACTATAGCAAATTCAAAAAATGCGAAAACACGAATCATGAGGCATAATTTTTAAATGTGAATATGAATCACAATGTCTAATTTTTAAATCACGTATAAATACGAAAATTGATGTTTGACATCACAACCGGATAAACGAATCACGACAATAGATTTTAAACTCACATGAATCTGAATCACTACATAGGGTTTAAAAACGAGTAAATAAGAATCGCAATGTACGATACTTAAATCGCATGAATAAGAATCAAAACGTGCAACTTTTAAATCGGGTAAATACGAAAATCGATGTTTGATAAAATGGCGGTTTCAAAATGCATAAATACAAATCATGATACTGGATTTTTAGATCTTGTAAACAAGAATTGCAATGTACATTACTTATAACGCGTGAATAAGAATCGTCATGCGGAACTTTGAAATCAGGTAAATACAAAAATCGATGTTAGATATTTAAATCGCGATAGTGGATTTTAAAATTTTGTAAATAGGAATCACAACGTACGAAATTTAAATCGAGTGAATAAGAATTGAATGCAAAACTTTAAAATCAGATAAATACGAATATCGATGTTTGAATATTAAAATCGCGATTTTAAAAACGCATAAATACTAATCGCGATATTGGATTTTTAAATCTGGTTAATAAGAATCGAGATATTAGCAGATTCTGGCTTGGGATTTCTAAAAGGCTTGTTTGCAAATTTTTTGTTTTTGTTTAGCCATAATAAATAAAAATGTACAAGATTAATTGAATGAGCAAATAAATATTTTTACCGCTAATTTTATTATTATTTTGTTTGCTTTCGCGCTATCTAACAGGAAGCAGTGACACCTGAATTACGAAAGCAGGAACTATTTTGGAGGCACATAAAAATATGGAAAATCTCATTTTCTGAGCGTAAAAGCAGAGAAAATAGCTAAAATAAGTAAAAATGGGGAAGGGTTAGCAGCTATGACGCAGTTCAAGTTCTCTGCTTATCTCTGAAAATCGGAAATTAATATAATTTTATTTCAACGACTGAATTTTCACAAAAAGAGGAATATTTTTATATGAAAAACGAAACTTTTACAGAATCGGAGTTTTTGATAAAAAGGCTGAAATTCGAGAGACAAAAGCGAAAGCAGAAAAATCTCATCCTTGATTGTATGCTTTTCAAAAGTGAAAGGGGTGAGATCAACAAATAAAAATCAGTGTGTACTTGCCAAGGAAAAAGAGCCCACACAAAAGACACACAATGTTATTCATCAAGAGAGACTTATGTAACAGAGGATGGAATTTCAAAAATAAACTTAGCTCTAGTACTGTTTACACAATTACTGGGGAAACATTTCATAAAGCGTGCTTGCAAATACAACTCGGCACAACAGCTGATAACGCTTACCCTACTATCCAAATGGCCTGGTGTGATTGTTCAGTGAGATAAAATAAGCAATGTAGTTAACAACATTTTCAAACTATTATGAAGTCAAAAATTATAGGTACAAGAGGCTCAAATAATAGTTCCTTCAGAAGTGTTCTTTTAGTATTGCAACACTAGTTTCATAATGAAATAAATGCCTAAATAGTGGAGAATAGTTTTGAGTGTCATTAAAAAACAATAATATGAAGCAGTCACTGGCCCCTTACTTAGCAGATTGTATCTAATACAATTCAATGAACAGAATCATGATACTTTAGTTAGAAACTTCCTTGAAGTTTTATTATTTCTGTTTTAATCCAGGTACTCCAACCTTGGTTAGCTTTTAAAATTTTTCAGTAGTTTGCAAAATCTTTCATTAGTTTTAAAATTAAATATTGCGTGGCAAATTCAAAACATACCAATGAAATATTGAAAATTTAATGTAATAAAAAACTGGAACAAAATTAATATCTTAAATTTTCATTAATCTTTATTCACGTAATGAAACAGCTTAAAAACAAAAATAAAAATTATTTAAAGGTTCAAGAACCATAAACGAAGAAATTAGAAGGGGGTAGGAAAGTAAATTATGAAGAATATAAATTATGAAGAAAATAAATTATGAAATACCGTAAAAAAAAATATATTATTATTATTTTTTAAATTATACAGTTTGGAACAAAATAAGGAAATTTAGCTGAGAAGTCAATAGATAAATCTGATATGACATTTCAACACATGGAAATATTAGGCTCAAAATACAAAAAGAAAGAAAAAAATTACACTTAGCAAACACATTGCTAGAAATTTATAAATTAGAAGATGGGTGAAAAGTTCAAAGTTAGATTTCTGCATAGAATGATTTTTAATTCCTGCCAGTCCCTACTTCATTATGTAGAAACTACAGAGAATAAGTAAAAAGTTGCATAGAAACTTTGGAGGATTTGTAGAATTTAGAGTCTCTGTTAATCTGTAATAGTAGTAGCCCAAAACAATAAACTTTGTGATATGATACTATATACAGTTTTTAAGTTTCACTCGATTTTGTTTATTTAATTTTATTTTTGTTATTTTAAGCATGCTCATTCTTTTCTTAGTTAAAAAAATTATTTACAAAAAGCATTATATAACCTAAATTTCACAAAAGGAAAGACATTGTTAAGTTTAAGATAATAATTCAATGCTCACTTTTTCAGTGTTTTCAGCAACTTTTTCCTTTTCTTCTAAAAGAAAATGTTTCTAAAAAAAAAAGGGTAACTTTTATCTAAGGTATTATTCTTTCTTTGGTATTGCTATATACATAGAAATAAATGATATCGCCGTCATATTTCAAAAATAAAATTTTCAAAAATTCTTTTTACCTGAACAGCAAATTTTTAATAAGAAAAATGGAATTTTTTTTACACATAACATTTTGATATGCCAATTATCAAACTTCAAGACACATAATGAAACAATATATAGGGTAAAAATTCCACTACAATTCAGTATTTTTATATGAAATAAATCAAATTCATAACAGCTGTTTACTTTCACCACTGATAATTTTACAGGTTTTGTTTTTAAAAAAAATTAATTATCTTTCAAATTTTGAGTCAAAATTTAACTTTGTAACACATAAAAAAATTTTCATGATCTCCTTAACATACAGGAACCATGTGTTAAGTTTATTATTACACATTAATGAGTTTTTAGAATTAATTTAAGGCTAGTGCTTGCTGAATAAGTTTATGCCATGTTTTCTGGCCTTTGGGGCAAAGTATTTTTCAAGCCAGTGAAACTTACAAATTTTTTTTTACAACTTAATTTTTTAAAACAAGACAAAATTTGATATTTTCTCAATTATTTTAAGAAATTTTAGTTTCCCAAGAATTAAAAAAATAAATAAATTACAATCCATAGTAAGAATTTACAGCCGATTACTCTCTGTTACTGTAATTAGTATTAAAAGAATGCAATAATAATCTGTATTAGATGAAGTGCTAAAGATATATATAAATATATATATAGAAATATATATATAGAAATTGTAAAAATTGATATAATTCCTTTGTGTTGAAAATTTTATTCGTTAAGCACATTATCTGTACAGATTATTATTGCATTCTTTTAATACTAATTACAGTAACGTAATCTTAAAAAAAAATTATTACTTAGGATTTGTTTTTAGATTTATTGATGATTTTAATATCTTTAATTTTCAAGATAATACAATTTTATTAAATAATATTTACCCCGAGGAATTAATCTTGCTTCGTATTTTTTTGGATTTGGGTATTAAAAAAAAAAATATCTGCTTTGTTGATTTATACGATAAAAGAAAAGATTTTAATTTTAATACTGATAAACTAATTACTTTCTAAATACATTTACCCAACTAAAATAATTAAATTCTATCTAAAATCAATGAGTTAATTGCATATTATTATTATAAATTTACTAAAAACTTCTTTGTTAATTAATTTTTTTACCATGTGCAAATCCAATTTTGGTAAAACTGTGGATAAAAATCTGTGCAAAACAGATAAATCATGTTTCTCTCTCTTTTTTTAAAAAAAAAAAAAATAAATGTTAATTTTCTAAAATCATTAAAATTTCATAATTGAATATATCAACCTTATTAATTATATAATCTTCTTTAAATTATCCAGTAAAAGATTATTACCTTGTGCACATCCATTTTCGGGCCAATCTTTGTTAATTAACAAATCAAACTCACTTCAGTGCTGAAGTAAAAACGTGCCTTAAAACAAAATCCCTCTACTTAAGCTTTGAACTCCATTTGCTTTTCTGTTTTAATACTTTGTAATCTGGCAATCTTATTAGGAAATATTTTAAATCATTCTTGAAAGATACATGTAAGTTTATTTGAATTTGCTACTCGCTTCATAGATCTTGCTTTGTGTTTTGTTCAGTATTTTCTTTTCTATTTCTTACTTAATGTGTTTGATTGTGCTTAAATTTTTTGAGTGCTTCTGATACTATTGTATTGATATATTTTGCTTTGGCTATATTGATACAATATTAGAAAGCACTCCTCTTTGTGTTTATAATCACGTGAGCTGATAAACAATCTTTATTAGATATCTTTTAAATTTTTTTTGTTTTCAAGCTTTTAATATATATATATTTTTAAAATTTTTTTTCAAATATATTTTTTAATTTTTTGTTCTTTTTTTTAAAATCTTTTTTTAATCAAATAAAAATTTTTACACAAAAAACACACAAAATATAATAGAACTTAATGTTATAATTTATTACTAAAAAGTTATTACAATTTCTTTATACATTTTCAGAAGTTTAATTCAATTTTAAATGTATTGTAAATAAAAGCTAAAAAATAAAAATTTAAGCAAATTTAGAAAATTTAAAAACTATGATTATTAAATAAAACCAACATTGCTAGAAAGTTTATGGTCATGGTTATGGCACTTTTGCATGTACCACTGCCAGGAAATAAGCTGATTAAGCAATGCTTTAAAAATACTTTGATGCAATTGAAATTATGAATTATATATCAAATAATATTCAGTTTATTTAGTAAAATTGCCATCAAAATTATAGTACCATTAAGGCACAAGTATTTTAAAAGTCAAAGAATTCATAATTTTGCAACAAAGATATCAACAAATTCCAAACTTATTCGAGATTATTATTATTATTTTTTTTAAATTGCATTATTTTTAAAATAATTTTTAATATATAAATGTAAAATCTTCGTGAAAACATACCTTTAAGAGTTCTTCATTAATCTTGATTGGAATTTTCCAGCCGGCTAAAACATAATCAATGCATCAAAATACAAAACCTCCTACACTCAATTATTTTTATTTGAACTAAAAAGTTTCAAATACTTCTGAAAATTTTGTGTATACAAAAATAACTAAAATAAATTTTTTGTCGCATGCTCATTGACATCTTAAAATCTCTTATATAAAATGATATAACAATGAAATATGAAACCCCCTTCAAAGTCTGATCATTTTAACCATATTATTGTTACTTATAAAGTTAAATAAAACTTTAAGTTGACCACCAACAACTTTACAAATTTGTTGCAGGGTAACTAGAAAGGTAATAAAATAAATATCAGAAAGAATATCTCAATAAATCAATCAAGAGTTATTTTGATAAGCTATATAGATTTTTTAGCCATCTTGGCACTCTAATTCCCCCTTTGAAAATTTTTTGGTCTAAAAATTTCTTAAAAAAAAAAAAAAAAGGTCCTCAACATGACTTTTTCCTATTGACACATCAACACAAATCCCCCATTAGGATGAAGTTATTCCATCAGCCTTGTTGTTGCTTATCCTCTCTGTCAGACAGAGTCAGACAAGATTCACAAGTTCATTGACTGAAGGGAAGTCGAAGACCAGGAGAGGATTGCTAAAGAGATCCTCCTTAGAGAGTCTCATGCAATCCAAGAGGTGCTCAGGAGAAGCCTGATGAATTTGGCACTTGGTGCAGGTGACGAAGGTTTTCCTGCCCTTGTTGAAAGTGAGGCACTTGATGTGACCGCTAGCAAGCCTTGATAGAACACGATCAGCCTTAAATTGAAGTATTTCAAAAACTTTTAGTTAATTGCAACATTAAATTTTTTGAGTTTCGAAATGCTCAATGTATTTTAATTTTCATCCGATTTTGTCGTTTTTATTCATAAGTGTTTGTCGTGAAAAGAACAACAACCTTTGCCAGTTAGACAGAATTTTATAAGTATTTTTCTTTCTTTCATCATCAGCACTGGCACGACAGCCCTTTGTGAGCCTGGGCCTTCCTCAGAAGCTTTTCCCTTTCTGCCCTTCTTCTAGCAATTGATTTCCAGCTCTTTACTTTTAGGATGGCAAAATCCTCATCCACACAGTCTTTCCATCATTTTTTGGGCCTTCCTCTTAGCCTTTTATTGGAGGGGGTTGCATTAAAGACTCTTAATGCTGTTCGTTCTGGGCTTATTCTCACTACATGCCTGGACCATCTCATTCTACTTAGTTTAATAGATTTAATGATATCATCACTATTTAAGATCTTATATATTTCAAAATTATATCTTTTTCTCCAGTTATTGTTATCGAGGATAGCACCAAAGATGGTTCGTAGGACCTTCCTTTCGAAGGTTGCTATTAACTTCTCTTCCCTTTTTGTTAGAGTCCATGTCTCTGAAGCATAAGTCAAAACTGACTTGATTAATACCTTATAAAGTAAAATCTTCGTCTTTTTTTTTAAGTGATATTTGAATAATGATCTTAAACCATAGAAGCAGCGATTGGCTGTGATTATTCTTTTTCTGATCCTAGACAAGTAAAATTTTTTACAGATTCAAATTTAAAAGAATCTATTTCAAACAATTTAGGGATGGTTTCTACTGTACCACAATACATATATATTGTTTTCTCCACATTCACTCTTAAGTTCATTTTTCTAGCTAATTCTTCCAGTGCCAAAATTTTTTCACTCAGTGCAGTCCTAGATCTTGCGATGATGTCTACATCATTGGCATATGCCAAAATCTGCACTGATTTATTAAATATAGTACCTGTAGTATTTATGCTAGCATCTCTAATAACTTTTTCTAAGGCTATGTTAAACAGAAGACATGCTAATGCATCTCCCTGTCTAACTCCATTATAAATTTCAAAAGAAGTAGATATTTCCCCCTGAATTCGTACAGTTGAAATGGTTTCAGTGAGTGTGAGCATTACAAGTCTGATTAATTTTGATAGAATATTAAAATCAGATAGGGTCTTCAATAGCTTGGTCCTATTAATATTGTCATATGCCACCTTAAAATCCACAAATAAATGATGGGTCTCAATTCCAAATTATCTACATTTCTCACAAGTTTGTCGTAGGGTGAAGATTTGGTCAACTGTGGACCATCCTTTGGGGAAGCCACACTGATGATCACCAATGACACTGTCTACAATGGGAGACTTTCTTTATCTTCTGAAAATTTATGCAAAGAAAGAAAACATGTATCCATTAAAATGTTGCTGCACTATTTGTTGCTCTTTTAATCCCTTAAATTGCAATGAAAATGTGCAGGCAACTTTTACTAATATAATAAAAATATGACATTTTAAATGTTCTTTGTCTAAACTACAGAAATGTCAGAATGAATTAAGAAAAAGAGACTTTAATGCTAAATAAACTGAATTACCCATGAGATGAGGTACTAATGCATAATCAAAAGCAAATGGATTCTCTATGTCATATTGTTGGTACTTGTGAGCCATAGATAGCCTGAGAGCATCTAAATGACCAAACATCAAATCATGGAGCCACTGAATATTCACAACAGGAATCTTCCATTCTTTGGCCTTCTGAACTTTACGACCTTCATTTCTGCAAAATTTAAGTTGGAGTAATTTATAATTATTAGTATTTTATACTCCTATTACAGAAAATTTTCATATTTATAATTTTTTGCTCAATTTATTAATAAGAGTATATATAATAGAGTTAGAGTAAAATAAATATACTTACAAAAATTTTATGAGTTATGTCTTTTTACTAAAAACATTAAGATAGAGTGATTTAAGAAAAATGTAGAACTCTCATTTATTCACCTGGTTCTTCCACCAGTATATAATCCTTATATTATATACAGAATTGATATATAATATAATTTAAACAACTCAGGGGATAAGCTGCTTAAATTATATTATATATCAATCTATATCAGCAATATTTAGTACACACTTTTTTACAGTGAAATCAGTGATTGTCTGATTTAAAAAATTCCTGTTTAGTGCAATCAATCAATAAAAATAAATAAATAAATGAATGAAATAAAAAAAAACTATCGAACGTAAATTTGTATTATTCTTTTAATCCAATGAATACAATAACATAAACCAGGGTTGGGGTTTTGGACGTCCTTAACTGGTTTTGGACAGGACACGTGGGTTTTACTATCTTAAACTGGGTAAAACTGTCCTTAACTGGGTAAAACTGTCCAAAACCTTGAACTTGAGTAAAAGGTAAAAATTCTATAGGTGTAACCATTGTACACATAATAAATACATGCATCAATAAATATTTGATATTTTTTATACAATTTACTTTAACTTATCAAAAGAAAATAATACAATATAATAGGAAAAGTTTTATAATTTTTGAACCTCCATAATTCATTGAACAACAAAAGTGAATATCTAATCCTTTAAATATAAATATGCTTTTATTACTGATAAATAATATTTTTGCATAAGGATATATAATGCAATATTAAAAAATAATTTTTTTTTTAAAAATACTAAATTTGTTTAAAAATTAACCTTTTATTTTTCACAATATTTTTAAATATAAATATATTAGTTTAAATTGAAAATAAAAAATAACTGAAAAATGTATTAACTGTTTTGAAGGGCATAACATCAGTTTCAGTTACTGACACTGGTGATGTATCACCACTATGCTAAAAGAATTGAACATGAATGAAATAACTGTATTCTTGAATAGTACTATAGGTAAATAAACCTGTTTATGACTAACCAAGCACTTAATCCCTAATAGCTTAACTTGTATGGCAAGGTCCAACTTCAGTTATGTACTATTGAATGAGAGGACCAATTGAACTTGATTACTGATTAATCTTCCTTTGTTTAATGTTTAAATTGAAGAGTCAAACAATATTAATAAAACATTATACTTTTAAAAACAAATATTCTCTAGTATATTTAATTATCAATATGTTATTAGTTCTATGTTTATTTTACCTTTTAAATATTGTTCAGATAAAATTGTGACATAATTTGAGTAAAAGGGTTTTGGACAGGACGGTTTAAACCGTGTATTAATCCATTCAGTCCTAAACCTTGCCAACCCTGACATAAACGCAGCATGAGAAGGAAAGCACACTTTTTGTACTATTTTTCACAGAAAACTGTCAGTTTATTAAGTTCTATGTATACAGTGCCCGCCGTTTATTAAAATCACTTTCGTTTTATGCTCTTTTGATTTTATTAAGAGGCAATTCAACGTTTGAAAAAAAAAAAAGTTTAAGATATATTCTAAATGCACACACTTTAAAAGCTTAAATAATGACAACATTAATGCTTTATTTTAACTAATTTAATTATTTTAAGTAAAACCCTACATAAGATTAAATTTACGAAATTTTTGCAAAAAATCGATCAATGGTTGCTTGAATTGCAGTATTTAAAATTAACTTTTCAACATCATTTGACAGTTTATAGAAGTTTTTATAGCTTTTGATATTTCCTCCTCTTTGTTCTAAAGCTTGCCGCAATACATTAAGTGCTTTTCTGACTTCCATTGAAGATGGCACTGATGATTTTTATTTCATCTTCTGAGTCTGATTCCTCCATTTCTTGATTGGAAATAACTTAGCAATTTTTGATGTCTGTAACAATTTCAGAATCAGATTTTTCTCCTGATGTTTGCAGGTTATCGTCAATAGCTACGTAACGTGAAAAATTCTTGTCCATTTCATTTTCTTCATTGCTGAGCATTTCTTCGAAACAGTTATCAGCTCCATCACCAGTGCTTAATCTACACTTTTTAAAGCAATTTGATATTGTTTGGGTTGAAACAATGTCCCATGAGTTACGAATCAAATGCATTGATTCTAAAATAGTAAGAGATTTTGATAGCTTTTTTGCAGTTAAGAGTTCCGAAGAGCTGTCACAGTCTATGTCACTAATGATCTTTTGAACAACCATTTTTCTGTAATGAAACTTGAATGATCCTATGATTTCCTGATCAAGGGGTTGAATAATAGCTGTAGAGTTGGGTGGCAAAAACACTAATTTAATGTTTTTCAAACGCAGGTCCTCATCAGCAGGGTGCGCAGAACAATTGTCTAAAAGTAAGACGACCTTTTGATTTTTCAGCTCCTTGTCCCATTCAAGAAGAAATTTTGTGAAAATGCTGGATGTCATCCATGCGTTATAGCTGTTGGCATAACTGGTGGGCAGTTGTTTTACTCCATTAAAACATTGAGGTTTTAAACTCCTTCCTATCACTAAAGTTTTTTTTCCACAGTTCCTGTCATGTTGCATGTTAGCAGCACGGTTAGTCTTTCCTTTATTTTTTTTACATCCACCAGTCGATTCATTTTTAAACAGCAGTGTGTGTTCAGGAAGTGCTAGGAAAAATAATCCTGCTTCATCTGTGTTGAAAATTTGCTCCGATTTATAGTCTTTGATGAGTGTTGACCACACGTCGTTAATCAGCATCTTGCTTTTCACCATGCAATTTATGATAGACAATGTTGTTGCGGTCCTTCCATCGGGTTAGCCACCCATCTGTAGCTTTAAAATCAGAATCACCAAAATAAGATAGCAAAGTCCTGTGCTTTGTGAAATAAAATTCCAAGGGGAATTGGAATTCTTCGTTCGAATGCATTTTTGAACCATTCTAACAGAGCCATTTCAATTTCCACCAATTTTCCTTCACGCTTACGCTTTCTTGGAAGATTTCCATTCTTTTTTATTTCCTCGGAAATATTTATCCTTTGTTTCAGAATGTTGAAAAGAGCAGTTTGGGAAATGCCTAATTTAATTGAAGCTTCACGTTGACTACACTTAGGAAGCTTATCATAGTTTTGCAACACTTCGAATTTATCTTTAAGACTCAAATCCTTCCTTTTCGGCATGCTGATAAAATTTAACATCAAACGAACTTAAAAATGATATGTGCTCTAACTCTAATTTACTCCAACGGCTTAAATAATATGGAACATGAGCACAGACAGTTTTTGGAAATCTACTCATGTTCTCGGTTAAAATGGATAACAAAAGAAACTTCTCTCCCTTCTATGGTTCATTCAATAAAAAGTAAGATAAGAATTCGACCCCTTGTTGAGTGAGATAGGCTTCTCCAAACTTCATTCAAGTCAAGGAATTGACATTGATTTCTATGAACTCGCCACTTACCACTCACATTTTTCCTTAACTCTTACACTATGTATATCACAGGAAAGTGCTAACCACACCTGTTTCACAGTTTTGTGAGTAACTGTTGCTTCTTTTAAAAAAATTTTAAAAATTCAAAAAAATAAAATTTTATAAATAAGCACAAAAAAAGCTGAAATATTGCACTTTTGATTTAATATGTAGTCAAAATTTTGATTTTAAAAAGCGGCGGCATTGATTTTATTAAAGGATGTTTTAACATGTATTAATATTGTAACAATTCAGTTCTTAACGATTTGATTTTATAAAGTGGCTGATTTTATTAGCGGCGGGCACTGTATATGCATATTTACTTCATATATGTATGTATAAAACTTAAAATAGACAAACAGTTTTCTAAAAAGAAAAAGTGTGCCTCCCCTCACGCTACACCTATACATAATAACATAATATTATATTAAAGAAAGGAAATCAAACAGGAAATTTTTTAAATAGTTTTACTTAATTATAAAAAAAAATAACTTTTAATTCTGAATACATGATATCACTTACTTTTTGCATATAATAATGGTATTGTGCGATGTCATGTAACCTGTATATTTTCCTCCTAAAATGCTAATCATATTTTTCAAAATTGACCGCTCATCAGCTTCAAAGTTTGTTATAGAGATTATCTACACATAAAAATTGCTTATTAGTCATAAAATGAATATGAAAATGAATATGACCTTATTTTGATTGATCTTAAAAATCTTTATTTTATTAAAATATATTATGTTTACTTAATTTTTCATGCTTACAAGCAAATTGAACTTTCCCAGATACATATATAAAGAAATGTAACTTTTTTTGTTGCAAAATTAATTTCACCTAAACTGTGAGGGTGTGGATGGGTCTCTGATTTGAGAAGACCAATGAGGAGCAGAATAAAATAATAAATCCTTAGTGATCTGCTTGACAAGACAAAAATTTTAATGTACTTTTTTTCACAACCATTGAACTGAAGTTTAACATTCATAAAAATAGCTTTTAAATTTAGAATACTTCTTATAGCATAGCTCAATGGAATATGTATAGCTTAAAATAACGGTAAAATATTTTCATAGCCTTGAAATGTGAAGCTTCGTGTTACATAGAATGTAAGGTCATACAGATAACTTCAAATGTCACCAAGCTTAGCCACTTTAGATTACCTTTTTCTTAAAAAAATTTTTATACCTGGTACAGTTCAATATCAATGCTTAACAAAGTTTTTACATTAAAAATACTTTAAAGCAGAAATATATGCACTTAAGTAAGATTTTATCAATCTTGGTTCACTTTTAGAAATAATGAAATTTATGGAGAATTAAGGTGACTAGTGAGATAAAATTTTTTATACAGATTTTAAAATTAACTATAGATACTAAAATTTATTTTATGAGATGCTTGCCATTAATGGCTATGTGCCCAGACAAATGGCAAAATTCGAGAACATTCTAATTATGAACTTGGTAGCAGAATTATGTGGCACAGCAGCGGGCGCCTGAGATTTATTTTTGCATAATGGACAAAAAATAGTAAATATAAATATTGAATTCAGGACTCTACGGATTATAGTTTATTTTGACTCCACTAATGTGATGTTCAGGGAAACATTCTGGACGATAATCTAAAGATCACAATTTTGATTCTCTGCAGAGGGGATGACTCCCACTCTTTGGTAGCTCTGTAGATAAATCTTTTCAACAGATCAATACAGACGTTTCTGTTACTGGGATCACAAACGCTACCTCTCGAGCTTTTAAAACAATTTTTTTATTGCTCAAACACTTGTCTTCAGTTTATACTTGATAACAAGTTTCCTTTGAGCTGTCATCAAACAACAAGAGTGTGCACGATCCCAACATGTTTTGCATTTAATCACAATGTTTTAACTGAATCTGTTCACTGACTAAACACTTGTGAAGGTTTATTTACAAACCTAAATAAGTGCCACTTTGAAAAAGTACATTTAATAAGTTAATCAAAATATTTAAAAAATATAGCAAAAATATTTTTATATAGTGAATGACGTAGTTTGGAGACATTGACAAGGATATAGTAACATAATCACCTGATTTTTACAGGGTTTATCATCTGAAAGTGGAGTAGGTAAATGATAAGCAAGCCAGGGATACTTCATTTTCTTTTTTGAAAGTACATCATTCAACCAATATGCTGTAACACAGCGTTTGCCTTCCCTCATAGCCTGAAATAAATGCATCCAACTAATTAGAAAAAACAATCATTCAGTGATTTTTCTCAACAAAAAAAGAAAAATTATTTTCTTTAAGATGAACATTTCTCTAAAAAAAAAAAGTTAGTGGAAGAAGGTTTTGTCCACAAATCATAGTCCCACAAATTATAATTTCTTTTTTTTAAATCATGCTTCCAACACATTAAATTTCTTTTTAAATAAACCAAGAGTACTGAAAAATTTTAATAAAAAATCCAGTAAAATAAGACTTCCATAAGAATTCAAAAATATTTTATATAATTAATGAACGGTCCCTCCGGCATTGAACGGCCATGATTAAAAATTTTCAATTCATAGCTTTATTAAATCAAATAATGAATAAACAGGGGACAAAATTTTCAAAGTGCTGAAGCTATGTGATTTTTCACTGCTCTAGACCTACATGAAAATACTTATTAATGATTCCCAAGTCATGATCATGAAATTAGTAAATGATCCCGAAGACATATTCAAAGAATGGGAAATTAATCTAAAAATGAAAGAGTGTGTGAATGTCATAGGCTTGCCTGTGACAATGGTGTTTTACCAGGGAAGGAATTAACAAGAAATATAACATTTTCATATGCTATAGGGGAAAAAAATGGCAATGTTTAGTTGGTCCCCATGATCAGCACAAATTTTAGAGGGTTTGAAAAGAAGCATGAAATCAAAATTCTCTCGCAATACACAGAGCGTTGCACATGTGATTACAAGAGTTCGTCAGACTGAATCCAGCTCAGTTAACATGTATGTGAATCTGCAATAAATTCATCCAACATAAAAAATTATCGGTGCTTTAGTACTATACAGACGACGGTGAGCCGAAATGGATTGTGGTTGAATGAATAGTGAAAATGACGAAAGAAACACGCTTCTTGCATAATTCATAACAGCAATCGACACGACTAAGAAAAAATCTTTAAGATAAAATTAAGCGCCTTTTACAAATACCTATTAAAAAATCACCTTTTGAAGACTTTTAAAAAAAGAAAATTAAAAAAAAGCACTTTTTTATGCACCTTTTTATTTAACTATGCAACATTCATTTATTTAGCCAAGCCTTTAAACTTTTAAGATCTTTGAGAATGAATGATTTTCAAAAGGAAGAAGTGGTGCAGCAAACGTTAAAAAACCTCTCTTTGGTAATTACTTAAAATCTTGAGAAAGGAACATAAGAAGAGATTTTGCCAATTGGCAAAAATAAAGGAAAAGTGTTAACATTATTTCCTCGTAAATGTTTAAACTTCATAATAATTTACTCAGATTCACAAGAATGTCACTTAAAACCTTCCTTAATTCATCTAAGTACTGAAATCTCAAAAATAATAAGAGTGCCACTTAGAAAACACACATTTATTTATTTCAAATTAAATCAAATTTAAAAGGAAATAGGTTTAACTCAAAGCAGAATCTATGTCTTAAATTTATATATAAGACAAAACAATCAATTTTTCAAAACTTATAAAAAATTTAAATCTATGATTCATACATCAATTCTAGCATATTTGAATTTTCAGACATGGATGTTTCTGGAAAAATTTTAACTGTGCCACAGTATGGTTAAATCATAGATAGTGGAGAATAGCTGTAGAAAAAATAGTAATTAAAAAAATCAACTGAATTAGTATAAATTGTCAAAACAAATACTAACTTGTTGGACAACAGAGTTTCGTTGACTTTCGCATATAACATGGGTGCATTTGCTACTGTAAGAAGACTCTATTTCTCCACCATTCTCTTCGATCACCTGACGAAATTTAAAGTAAATACACAAGACATAATCAAACAACTTCCTACAAAATACATGATGGAATGAAATATTTTTTGAATCAGATTAATGTACCAGTCATTATTCCCTAAAAAACAATACCTACGTAAACACTTTTATTTTTAAGTATAAATTAGACGTAGTAAAGGAAGCATTCAAAATAATTAAGAACTGACAGAGTTATTTTGCATATTTTTTTGGCTAGTTTGCACAAATAAGCAATGGTGGTACAAATAAATATTAAAGTGTTATTGTCTAATGTCCATCAAAATATCAGGGAGTAAATAGTGTTTTACGGTATTACTGATAAAGTATTTATATGCCCAACCTGACATGTGTAAGGATAAAGAATGCGTGCCTGATCAAAATTTTGATATGCCTTGTGCAGTCCGCAAAAAAAAAGGATATCACCCTGAATAACTTTTGTTCTAATGATCGGATTTTCACGAACTAAAAGTCAATCTTAATGGTTCCTGGGGGCGCAGACAAAATTTTAAAAAAATTGGGTAGCAATAAATGTTTATATATTTGGCGATAGTCCAGAAAAACGCCAAAAAAAGTCGCCTGCGCAAATTAATATTTTAAGATAACCCATTGACTAATTCAAAAGCATAATGCTTAATTTTACTAGGTTGCTAGGCAACCTAGTAAAAGAACTCTGAATGTAAAAAAAATGAAATAATGTTCTGTGATTGCTAGGAGAGGTTTAATTCATTGTTAGTAGAAAATATATCGAAGTTTCTAGGCAGTAGACAATTTTTAAGCTGATTTCTGTCCAAAAAGCAAAATTTTTTTTATTTTAATCTCCTTTGAAAAGAAAATTTGAATTGATTATAAATTATTAAGTTTTTAGAATTTAAATACATGAACTTTTTATCTGATATTATTTTGATATGTTGTTTTTGCTATATTTATTCGAGGATTTCATACTAAAATCAAATTGACATAACTTATTATAGCTATATACAAAATTTTCGGGATAATCATTTTTACAGATTTAATCGAGTCTTCTAGACAAGAAAGTTTGAAGAAACAAAAAGTGCTTGAAAAATAAAATGTAGATTGTATAGTAATTCTAATACACATTCACAAGGTTTTCTATAATTTGCGATATTTCTTTTTTCTATAACTCAAGGAATTGCTGAATGTTTAGTGGCATTTTAAAAACATTGAAACACGTTATGTTTAAGGATAAGATATCGAAATAATATGTTGCATATTGTATGATTCATTGCTTAAAAAATCGCTTCATTCTGCTAGATATTTAGGTTACATGGTTTTCTTTGGATAAAGATGATTAGCAAATAGCATCCTCATGTTTCGATACATTCTGAAACTTACGTTTGCAAATTCATCATAAAATGTCGCACAGCATATTTTTCAATTATGATAAGCTACATTTACCACCAAATACTGCTACTACAATTATTTTTGTTTTCTTACGTATATCTGATACTCTCTTTTTAAACAGAGCTCGTAAGATCCTTAAGATACTGAAATGGGGGCACAAAAACTTAAATATTTAATTTCATTAACTCAAAATATCTGGTCTCAAAATTTTAATTTTTAAGTTAAATATAACTTTTACAATATTGACGCTATTATGTTTTTAAAGACCACATGATCCTGCTAAAATATAGAAATGCTTATGTTTACTTTAATGAGTGTAAAATCATTATCAAAATAATGATCAGGACCAAAATATAAAATAGTATAATTGATGATAAAAACTCACCTGGCCTCAAAACATATGAAAAGGGAAGTAAAAGTCGACTTGTTTCGAGCGTTCAAATATAATCGCCCATTCTCAATACTTGTCAAGCTTGAATAACTTGTGACTTTTATTATTGGACGCTGAAAACATGTCTATTTTTATTATCATCTATTTTTTAAATCAATGAAGTTTTTATATTTTCAATTCAGTTTCTTGGGATTATCTATTTAGTTACACAACATGTTAAATTATTTCACTCGATATTAGAATAAGTTTTACATAAGTTATAGGCACAGGTTCTTAGATTGAAAAAAATAATAATTTACTACTTTGTAAAAAAATCAATGCAGTAAATTTTTTTTTTGCTGCAAGCTTTAAATTTCAAAAGTCGAATGTGAAAATGGAATGTCCCCTAGAACCAGGAATCGAAATTAAATAGTTACAAGGACAACTATTTCAAAAAAGTTTGCGTTTTCGTCCTACTCGAAGTTGTTTGAAAAGGTATTTTTCATATATTGATTCCAAAGTTTACTCTACACATATTTTAGGGTATACTTTCGGAGTATTTTGATCGAGTTTATTTTTACACCCTTATTTGCTTAAAATTATTAAATAATTTGCTTAAAATAAAATATTCAAGCTACCTGATTTAATGCACTTATAGTATAGTAGTAAACGGGGCTTCCATCGCATATCCTTAACCTTGATACCACTATCATTAAATAAATGGAATAAGCTTAGATAAATAATAAAAGTTAATTGTTTTCTCGTTTTAATTTTCAAGGAAATATATTTCGATCAAACAGATTTCATTCTGGAAATAGCGAAATTATTGAGTAGGTCCCTTGGAGCAATATCATTCTTATCCTCTTTTGACGAAATATAGGAAAAATTGGTTTTCACAGTTTCTGTAAAAAGTATGTTAGCCTTCTTGCAACGCTTTTTTTTAAATTTTTTTTTATTTTTATATCAAAATAAGCTCGGAAATTGCGTATTTTTTATTGAATTGTTTCTTTAAAAATCAGATGGTTCTAAAATTGGCACGGCTTCGGAATCTTCTGACAAATTTCAATTTTTAGTATTTCCTACTGAACAAAATAAGGCATTTCTCCTGATAGTAAATTATACTACAATAATATTTAAGGAATCATGCAAAAGAAAAAAATTAAACAAAATAGTTTAGCATATTATCTGGAAAGAAATCTACATGTAATCATAAAGAAAGAGTAAAAGATATAATGAAATAATTAGTGAATCACACGTGGTCAGATAATTTAATTTCACAACTAAGATGTTAGGACGACATTTAAGATACTGAGATATTTTATGACGCTTAAAAATTTTGGCTGTATTCGACAGCTTTTTATGTTCGGTATCTTTATACTCTTTGTAGTGACTTCTAAAGCATCAACACTATTTTAGATAATCTATGAAGTCACAAGAAACAAAACAAAAAAAAGACTATCAATGATTTATATTCTTTTTTCGAAAAAAATAGTATGCTTAGTCAAGCTGTTTTGTATTAAATAATTGTAAACAGCGGAATGTTTTTAATTTCTTAACAAGATTTTATTCTTAGCTAGCAGACAATAATTCTTTTAAAAAAAACTTGACTATAATTTAAAAAGGAACTTCACTTTAAAGAAAACCTGAATTAAAGTACTAAAAAATTTATTAGTATGTTAATGAAGAAATAATAGACGTAGTAGGGTAAAGATTAAGATTTTTAAAAATGTTAAAATTTAATTAAATAGTTGGTAAAATAGTTCTGCGAATCACTTCCAGACAGGTGATTAAAAAATTACTAACATTAAGACGATATATAAGATGTTGAGAAATTTGCGATGATGTGAGATATGCTTAAATATGTTTACTACGTATTTTTATTAATATTTATAAAAAATATATTCAAGAAATTGATAAATATTTTATTCCAAATCTATTCATACATATGTATATTATTGAAATTGTATCAGTTATTGAGAAGAAAAAACTAAAAACTAAAAAATAATCACATTAAATAAGCACAATCTGGTGTATAATGCTTTTATAAAACTCGGCATTCGTTGAATAAAATGTTTTTTATTCAATAAGATGTTTTATTCAAATTTCTTTACTAAATTGCAAATAGAATTTTAGACAATTAAAAAAGAAACACCGTATTTTATAGTTTTAAAAAAATAAAAAGATTTGCAAACGATTATTAGCGAAAAAAATATGAATGAAATTTTCGCTACCTGCGCTAAGTTAAGTTCCTCGTAGGTTTATCACATTTTAATATTTATCGCCCCATTTAATCATTGTCGCCAAAATATTATTTTTTAAACAATTAATTTTAATTTTTCTCATCTTCTAATAAATAAAAACAGTTGAAACTTTAAATTTTTCAATTGAAAAATACGTCGATTAAAATGGTATAAAAAAATTCATAACTTATAATTCAACTTTTTTTCATCCTCACTTTAATTAAATAATAAAAAATAATAAATAATTATTAAAAATTATTTTTTTCATAAAATTATCTTTGGGTAAATGAGTTTTATGAGTGGGTGCAATTTTTTTTTTGAATTGCTTCATTAGTTTCTAAAATATGACTGAAAACGCAAAAAGCGAAATTAACATTAAGGGGTCCAAACTTTGAATCTCTCTCCTGACCAAACTATGGGGATCACATTTCCCAGATTGCGGCTACCCCCTATATTTTGAAGATGAAGAATCCAAATATGTAAAAAAAAAATTTATGTTTATTCAGAGAAAGTACGTTTTTGTGTCTGATTTCGTAACTTAATTAATAGTTAGCACTAATTAATTAGCATATTTGAAGTCACTCCCAGGAACCATTAAGATTGACACTTAGTTCGTGAAAATCCGATCGTTAGAACGAAAGTTATTCAGGGTGATATCTTTTTTTTTTTGCTGACTGTACATATCAGGCAATATAATTTCTCAGTTTTAAGAGATAGTAATAAGTAGTGTATCAGAGTTAACTAAGTTTTCCACCAAAAAGTGAGTTTGGCTGAATATTGCCAATCAGCCCACCTGACCAAATAATTAATATAACTGACAACAGAATATCCAAGATCATTAAAAATAATGAATAAAAAAGATCTCTAAAAGAAGTCTTAAAAGATTTTTATCAAGGAAAAGCTTTACCTTTGCCCACACTGAAACATCTGTGGATTTTTCATAATCTTCTATACAAAAAACACATCCTAACAGGCACAGATCAGATGGCACTATAATGGTTATACATTTATTAATTTTCAGATAATAAATTTATAACTGAAATAACAAGACCAAACTTATAATTACGCAAAATATAATAAAAATAACACAGAGCACATAAAATATATTTCTCAAGTTCTAATGGAGTTCTTCAAGAAACAAGGTGAACTGACATCTAACAACCAGAGGAATTTAATCTTAAACATTTCTTTCTTAAATATAAAAAAACATAGCACAAAATTTATTGGGCCTCTTTTTTTTTTATAAGCAACTACTTTTATACAAATATTAATTATTAATACAAATTTGGAGTTATTTTGGTCTATAAAAAAAACAACAACTTAGTTATGGATTATATAAATTAAGAAACGTCAAAGCAAAAGGTCAATTGTGACAGACATAACACCAGACAAATTTTTTGATAAATTTTAGATACTAAATAAGAAAGCTTCACAAATTTTGCTGTGCAGTAACTTACCAGCCAGTTAAAAATAATGAAAAATACTAGGTTGTTTAGGGGAAACACATTTTAATGCATAAAATAAAAATATGTTGTGAAAGACATGACAATAAATGGACAGGAATTTAGAGTGACTGAAAATATAATTAATTACTCTGGTGTATGTCAGAATTGTTAGTTTCTCAAAAGAAAAAAAATAATAATAATTTTTAAGATATGATATAATAAAATCATAATTATCAATTTTAGGTTTTCTTATTTCTTTTTTAGTGAAAGAAATTTCTTAAAAATCCAAAGGTATATTTTAATATAAGAATGTTATGTTCTGAACACAAAAAGAAAAAAATCAGTAATATCAGGACAAAACAGTAAAAAGGACAGAATATTTTTTATCAGGACAACTGCGAACCCTCATTCTTTGTGACAGATATGACAGGATACTATTATTAAGATTGGCTGAAAAATAGAATAATTTTTATTCACCTCTTTAATGTATTTTTATAAATTCTAATTCATACGAAAAAGAATTGAAAGATTTATTTCATGTTTTAAGGCAACATGGGAAGTCAAAATTTTGTATTTAAGACCAGAAATTATTCTACTTAAAGAAACATTAACAGAATCAATCATAAAAAAATATAATCACAGTATTATGTTTTATTTTCATGAAATTCTGACTATTTTCTTCAACAAAAGACCAGAAAAAAAATCTTTTTCTTAAATTTTAAAAATGGTCTTAGTGTCTGCTTTTCATAGAATTGACCAAAAATAAATAATGACAAGCAAAAATCTTTATTTCACTGCTACTTAAAAAAAATTAACTTATAACTTAATACAATTGACTCCTCATGGTCATGTTTTTAAGTATGTTTCATTTACATTTTTATCTCATCCTACTTACATAATTAACAACTAAAACAATAATTTGAAATGTAACTACCATTCACTTTAGGATCATGTCCATAGAAAACTGCTTGAGGAACAGCAGGAACTTGTGAACGCTCAGCCAACTGAGTTTGATGATGTAATACAGTAATTCCTTCTGAACTTGCTCTACGAGGTAAAGACTGAGCAGATACCTGTAATTATTTCTAATATTACACAAATGATGAAGAACAAGGAAGAACCTACTTTTAATAATCACAATGAAGGCACTTTAAACAAATCTGATAAAAATTAACCTTTTTTAAAACTAAGTGTTAGGCTTTACATTGTTTTTAAGACTAAAAGCATAAAAAATAGCTTACACAAACAAAGAATTTCAATAAAATACTGAAATTATTTGAGAATATTGAAATTCTTTGAGAAATTTTTCGATAAAATATTGAAAACTCACCGATATTCCTTGAGTAGTTCTTATAAGTGTCTCTCCATCTACTGAACGACTTGTGATTTGCAATCGAGTGTTAAGTAAATTAGCCAGTGCTGTCTTCGTTTTAGGAGTAACTTGAGTTGCAGCTTGAGAAGAACCTGGAGATGTCTGTGAAAGAATTCCCGGAGCATTTTGTGGTTGATACTGAGCAGGAACAGCCAAGGATTGATGTTGAGGGGAAGGAGTTGACAATCTAGGAGAGGCCAACTGATCCCCTTGAGGGGAAAACTGTGCTGGACGTATGCCTGACACTTGCTGCTGCTGCTGTTGTTGTTGTTGCAATAACTGTTGCCTACGCATTTCAAGTTGCTTTAATTGGTAAGATTGGATTTGTACTTGCTGAGGTGATAGTTGAGTTGAATCTCGCTGCTGAAGTGGTTGAGTTTGCTTCCATAAAGTTTGCTGCTGTGACACAACCTGAGGTGCTGTTACTGGCACATCTCTGTTTTCAGAAGTTTGTGGTCTGGGTTGTTGCCACACAGCTTGCTGTTGTAATTGAGCTGGCTTAGGACTAAGAGTCAACTCCTCTTTCGGAGATTGCTGCTGCACATGTTGCCACTGAGGGGAGGGTGGAGGATTAACACCAGGAGAGCGACTTAAAAATTGCGTTTGCTGGCCTGCAACTGCTTGAGGCCAAGGACTCTGAGGTTGCTGTGGAGACGTCAGCTGCCTTGGTTGGGGTGGAAACTGCAACCTAGGTTGACCTTGAAGTTGTTGACGATCATAAGGATATTGTGGAGGAGGTTTCATCATAACGGATGGTTGATTCGTGATAATATGTTGCATAGTTTGTTGGGGTTGTTGAGAATTACTTTGTAACTGTTGCTGCTGTAGTTGTCTCTGGCGAAGTTGCTGTAATGCCAACTGCTGTTGAATCTGCTGCCTCTGTTGCAAAATTTGTTGCTGATGTAAACCTTGAACAGGAGGCTGCCCATGCATAGGCTGTTGAGCGGCAGGTAAAGTAGCTTGAAATTGTTTCTGGACTTGTCGTAGAACTGGTGACATTTGATGGGTAAATCGAGGCTGAGTTTGAAGTTGAGGAGATGAAGGAGTTTGTGGAGATTGTTGTTGCAATATTTGAGGGGACTGTTGTTGCAAATGAATTTGCTTAGTAACAACCTGTGTTTGAACTTGAATTTGTTGAGATGGTCGTGGTAAGTTGCTTTGCGAAATAACATGCTGGGTAGGAGAAGTAATAGGTTGTTGTAATCGAGTTTGTTGAATGGCAGTGTGTCGTACGGTAGATTGCAACTGATTTTGCTGTAATATTGTCTGTGAGAGAGAAGATTTTTGCAATTGAGCTTGCTGTAATGCCAGTTGCTGCAACTGAGCTTGTTGCAAAGGGGAAGACATTCTAGGTTGTTGAGCCTGAATACCACTCTGAGGTGACGGTAATGACTGTCTCAATAACTGGCCAGAACTTTGTGGATCTTGGGGAGACTGTAGAATGTGAGTTTGTTGTAGAGAATTGGAAGATATGTTACTAGTCTGCACATGTTGGGGTGGATTCTGAGCTTGAGTCATAGACTGCTGCAATTGGGCTTGCTGTTGGCGAAGTTGCTGGATTCGAGCCTGTTGCAGAACTTGCTGTAATTGCACTTGTTGAACTGAAGCTTGCGATAAATGAATTTGTTGGTTTACATTTTGGGAAGTTCCCTGAGGTAAAGAAGTAGCATTCTGGAGTTGAGACTGATTCGAAACCTGTTTCAAAAGTATTTGTTGAGCAGATGGCTGTGCCATTTGACCCGATTGCACTCGAGGTATTTGTGAAACTTTTTGCAATGCAGCATGTATTGGAGAAGTTTGACGAAGAGGACTAGGGGTTGAAGGTGGATTTAAATCATGAGTAGAATTAATTTGTTGAATTTGAGCTTGAGATATTTGCAACTGAGAAAGGTTTGGTTGGAGCTCCGTCTGGTGATTTCCTTGCTGAACAGGTGGTTGCTGAGGAGATGACTGTAACTGATCAGGTGTTTGAGAGGCATGCATTAACTTTGAAGGTACTTGCTGCAAAGAAACAGATTGCAAAGAAGAAGGGATTGTGATATCTTGAGACACAGATGAAGAGGGCACAGAAGGAGACTGTGATGATTCTTGCATAGTTTTTTGATTATCTGTTTGTTGAGTTTGCAAAGATGTCTGACTCATTGAACTTTGGTGAGAAGAGACTTGTTGTAACTGAGTTTGCAACTGCAATTGAGAAAGTTGTGAAGGTTGAGACATTGATCGAGAGGGCGCTTGAACTGAACTCTGTTGAGATGAGACATGTTGCAATTGTATCTGTTGCAGTTGTTGTGTTGGAGTATGGGATCCTTGCTGAGGAGAATCTTGGGACATCATTGCATTCTGCACTGGAGAGCCTAGTGACAACTGCATCTGTTGGCTTGGAGAGCCTTGCACTTGATTAGAGGGATGAGCTGGCGATCCTTGAGGCATCTGAGCAGGTGATCCTTGAGAAAGTTGAGCAGGTGATCCTTGCTGTAATTGCTGTGCTGGTGATGTCTGCTGCATCCTAAGCTGCTGAGCTATCTGTTGTATTTGCTGAGCTTGAGTTCCTTGCAACTGTTGAGAGCTTCCATGCTGTATTTGCATGTGCTGCCCAGATGAAATTTGAGACATTGATTTTCCCTGTTGTAACTGCTGATGTGATGGACTGTGGAGAGCCCCTTGTTGCAACTGTAATTGCTGTGATTGAGAATTTTGAACATGTAAGCGTTGCACAGATGCATTTTGCTGCATTTGCAATCTCTGCAGTTGTTGCACTGATATCTGTGGTATTTGTAGCCTTTGTAGTAAGCCCTGTTGGGAGTTTTGCAAGCTTGCTGTCTTAACAACAGTTTGAAGCTGACTTTGTTGAGTAACAAACTGAGTTCCAGAGTTAAGCATTTGGGAGGACTGAATGTTTGTTGATAGATCAACTTTTTGAGTAGGTTGTAATAATTGTAAAGATTGTAAAGACTGAGGTATTTGTTGAATATTTCTTTTTTGCAACTGTAGTTGATTGATTTGCTGTTGGGTCAAAGGTACTTGCTGTTGACCAAGAGTTCTTTGCAATTGTTGATGCTGCAAAATGTTTTGCGATAGTTGTGAGTTTTCTATACCTGCTTGTAATTGAGCTTTTTCTAAAGCAACTTGATGTAATTGTGCTTTATCTAAAGCAATTTGTTGCTGTTGTACTTTCTCTAAAGATTGTTGCAATCTAGCTTTTTCAAGAGCTTGAAGTCGAGCTTGTTCTATAGATGCCTGCTTCAACTGAACTTTAATTAACTCTGTTTGTTGCTTTTCAACAGCTTGAGCTTTTTCAAGAGCTAATTGCTGAGCTTGTTGAAGGGGAGAAAGTGGCACTGGCAATTGTGAATGTTGTGGAGAAGGTTGTTGAAGAGGAGTTTGAGGTCGTTGAGTTGGTAGTGGCGATTGCTGATGCTGAATTTGAATATTAGTTTGTTGGGACTGAACAGCAGGATGTTGAGGTGAATGTTGCAAGGGAGAATGCTGCAAAGGTGACTGTTGTAAAGGAGATTGTTGCATAGGAGACTGTTGCTGTAAAGGTGACTGACGAGGAGATGGCTGCAAAATATTTTGTTGCTGAGAGTGAAGAGGAGAAGGGGGCATGTTTGGAGATTGTGTCAAAACCCTTTGTTGAGCTTGCTGCTGTTGCTGATGTACATGCTGCATATGTTGTTGTTTCAGCAGTTGTTGTTGCAGTTGATGTTTTTGCAATGCTTGCTGCTGCAGAGGTGTTAAAGATTGCTGCTGTTGAAGTTGTTGAATAGTTTGCTGTTGATGCCTAATTTGTGACATTTGAATGTGTACATTTTGGTTGGTTTTGGGTGACTGCATTACATTTATTTGACTTTGCTGAGTTCCACTAGTTTGATGAGAAATTTGGGAAATATTAAGTTGGGCTGGCTTTTGCAAAAGAGTTTGAGGAACTTGCTGTCTCTGCATTTGAACTTGTGGCTGCTGAATTTGATTAGTTGTATTTGAAGCTTGTTGCTGCAATATTTGTTGTGGAAATTGAATTTGTTGCTGCTGTAATTGATGTATCTGTTGTTGCTGTAGTTGCTTCTGTTGCTGTAAGAGAGGCTGCTGCTGTGGTTGTAAATGAGACTGTTGTAATTGTTGCTGTATCTGCTGTTGCAATTGCTGTTGCTGCTGTTGATGTTGCTGCCGCAATAATTGTTGCTGTTGAACATGTTGTTGTTGTAGCTGAGCTAACTGAGCAGCAGGAAGCCCTTGAGCTTGCCTGTTTCGTAATTGTTGCTGTTGAATTTGTTGAAGTCTTTGCATTTGTATAGATTGTTGCGCAAGCTGTTGTTGCTGCATAAGGGCAATACGTTGTTGAGTCAATTGAATTTTTTGTTGGGGAATTTGTGTTGGTGTTGACTGAAGAGCTCTTTGCTGTATTAAGGGCTGTTGCTGCTGTTGTAGTTGTTGTTGCTGCTGTTGTTGTTGCTGCTGCTGTTGTTGTTGCTGTTGTTGTTGAGCCTGCAATTGCTGAAGTGCTTGGTTTAGTTTTTGTTCACCTTGTTGAATAAGTTGTTGATTTTGCAAAACTTGTTGGTAAGCACTCTGTGACACAGATGTCTGTTGTTTTGTCAAAATATTGACTTGATGTGACCCTGGAGGTAAACTGAGAGTTTTATTGGTAATATATATTTGCTGATCAGGCTGCAATGACTTCATACTTGCATCAAGACTGCTACTAGACACAGCAATGTTTCTTATAATATCTTGAGACAACTTTTGTTCAATATTTGCCATTTTAATTTGCTGAGGAAAATTTTGAAGCGCTTCTTCAGAAATTCCATGCTGATTTTCAGTTGAAATTTCGGAACTAATATTAATTTTGTCAAGGGATATCAAGGCAGAATTTAAAGCAGGCGATTCAGGTGAAGGAATATCTGGAACTTCTGGTTCAGGTAGGATTAAAAGTTTTGGATGATATAAATCTTCATCACATAGACATCTATTTCTAATTGAATCTGTTATCCAGTCTGGTGTGACTACTTTTTTCCCCATACTTAGAGCTTTAGAGTATTTTTCCTAAAGTATAAAATAATATTAATAAATAAATGAAAAAATAATAAATACTTGAGCTTATTAAGTATAGTAATAAAGTATATAACAGGAGTTTATTTATAAAAAATTTTTTATACTTTTGGAACCTATAAACTTATTTTATTGCATTTAATTAGGTAAAATAAAACTTAAATATAAATCAGTGTTTTCCAAATAGAAAAAAAAAGTTTGTTGTAAAAGCAAAAATCAAAAACTAAACTACGCACAAATATAAAACCTGAAAAATCAAAGACATTAGAAAATAAGTAAGATCTTGGTAAAAAAAAAGGGAAATAAAGACAATGGAAATAAAATTTCCTTGGAAAAAGGAATGTAAAATAAAATATTGTTTCTTTTTTACCTTATAATGCATTTCCTTTGTCCTTAGATTCAGGGTTTTGTGTAAATTTGAAATATACAGCTATGTATGATTGGAACGGGATATTGTTTATATTAGCAAAAAGATTTTTAATAAGAATAATATTGATAACACTCAAAAATTGACTTTTTAAGTTTGATACTTTTTAAAACTAATAGAGCATGTCTTTTTTTTTTTTTTTTTGGTTAAATTCAGGTTTTCTCTCTTTTTAAAAAAAAAAAATCTGTTGAATAATATTTTAGGCCTTTAATTGAAATTAACTAAAGCACATTCCAAATTATTTCATAGTATTCAACAATTCTATTTTACCAGCGTTCTCCCTAGGACTAAAAAAGGACATTCTTCCTTACAGAAAAAGGCACCTTGAGTTTTGAAAGGCACTCCCTTGCTACCATTAAAATGTATCAAAATGTGTAATATTATGTAAAAACTGAATTTGATTCAAAACAATTTTCCAATTAACCTCTCATACTATTTTATATATATATTTCAAAAAGTAATTCTCACTCATTTTCAAAATAACAGAAAAATTGGAACCTTTTAATTAAAAAATATATTAATTAAAGGCAATGATAAATGACAATTTCTGTGCATAAATTTTCTTCAAAAAAAAGTTAACTAAAAAATTGATTAATTGATTAACTTAAATGCTTGTTTTTTACATTTTAAATTGAAAACTATGAGAAAATGAACCTTTAAAGGTGCATTTTAAATAAAAGTTATTTATTTAAGAAAATAATTGTAAACTTTAAATTCACTAAAAAGTCATTTATATCCTCCCCCACTCCCAAAAAAAAAAGAAACGAATAAAAATTTCAACAGTTGTGAATGTTCCTAACAAAGTAAATATCTGTAATAGTTATCAGAATTAAACAAATAAACACAGATAACTTGATTTGGGAGTGTGTAATTATTATCTAAACAAAAATTAGTAAGTACATATAATTCATCTACATGTAATATTTATATTTATTTAAGTAAACAAGACATTATTCATTTAAAGATATAACATTACAATAAGTTAAATAATATAAGTTCATTGATAAAGAAGGGTAAAAATGTACACTTTTAAAAGTTATCCGTTAAACTAAAAAAAAAAAAAATAATTACAAGCCCTGATTCAGTTTAAAAAGACTGACTCGAAAATATACTAGGGTCTATTAAAAAAAAAATTAATAATTTTATTTTTCTTCCTATAGACTAACATTGAAAGCAGTTTTGGAGATGTTTGAGATCTACTAGTCTTTTAAGAGCTGTTAGAAAATTTGATTTTATTATAGATTAGGATTCTAAAAATATGCTTGTTTGTTGATATTATATTAGACAGATAATTTCTTAGCTGCCAACAATTGCACTTTTTTCAGAAGTTTCTTTTTTTTTGAGAAATAAAATTCCAACAATAACTTTAAGCAGAAATTTCTTCAATTTTATTAATGTCTTAAAACTGCATAAATAATTATTTGATAGTTTATAAATGTTTAAATTAATTAGGTATTCTGATAATAAATAACATTTAAAATCAAATTTACTAAATAAAAATAATAATATCAAAGTATTAACTTAGCTACTACTTTAAATATAAAAGTTAAATTCTCTTGGTGAAATAAAAAAAAATTTGTCAGCTATGTCATTTACAACTTATGTTTATTTAGAGTCGCTCTTGATGCTTTGTCATTATATCTAAGAATAATTGCAGTTGCTTAGATATGATTTTATCAAATTAGGAATAACATTCAGCAAAATGGGAATTCTCCCACTCTCCCAAAAATATAAGGTTGCAGCGCCCCTGGAACGAAAGGTTCAAAAATGACATGGGTTGCATAGAAAATAGTAAAAGTAAGTTTTAGGACAAACAGTTTAATTAAAATTAAAGTGTAAACTGCCAGTTTTTTCTTTCATTTTAATATAATAGAACTTTAAGTTTATAGGGGTGAGATTGGCCGAAAGGCAAAAAAGCTGAATTTCCATCATGTAAATCATATGCACATTTAATCATTTAGTAATACATTCCAGGCAAATTAAGATAGTAAATAATTATGCGTTGATACAAAATTAATTGCATACTAATTTATTATTATTTGAATAATTACATTGACTCTTAAGATTTAGTAAAAAGTAAAATAACCCATTGAAAAAATTGCACTAGAACTTATATTTTTCTGCAGCTCACACAAAGGAGACAATTACTAGTTGAAAATCTTGCCTAGTTCAGCACATAAAATTACTGAAAACATACATAAACATTCAATTTCTTTTAATAAATACTATTATGTGATTTATAGCAAAAATATAAGTAACATAATTTTTTTTAAATTATTTAGAAAAAAGAAACTTTTACAATTGGAATCACTATGTTTATATTAAAACTTAATCTAGCTAAGGCCCTGTGAAACACATCAATAATTGTGAAGTAGAAACATTTAGTATCTCCTTAACAAACAAAAATTGTCAAGACCAAACAGTTTTGAGGAATTAATTGACGGTCCATCAATTCAACATGGAACTTTCACAAATTTTTTTGTACACAATAAATATTTCTTTAAAATAGTTAAGTAAATGACCCCTTAATTTTTATGCTTAAATTTTACCAATTTAAATTAAGAAATTGATGAGTTGTCTACATTAAAAAAAAAAAAAAAAAAAAAAAANAAAAAAAAAAAAAAAAAAAAAAAAAAAAAAAAAAAAAAAAAAAAAAAAAAAAAAAAACGGCTCATAAGCCACAAAAATTCTGAAACAAACAAAATCCATAAGTTTGATCAAACAGTTTTGAAGAATTAGTGGACGGTCCCTGAATTCGACACAGAACTTTCAAGATTTTTTTAAATTGTTAAATCAATATTAAATCAAATAAATATGAGGGGCACGAAAATTTTGAAGTCTTTTTACATACCGTGAAAACTCGTCGATAAATTAGACTTAGTAACTAGTGAAAAATCTAAGTAGGTAATAAAATTAATATTTGATCATTAAATAATTGATTAAATCAAATTAATATTTGGTAAAAGTATAAAAAACAAATAAATATTGAGCTCATTGGGAAAAATTACGAGATTTTGCAAACAAAATTTAAAAAATACATATTTATTTCCTTTCCCGTCCTTATCACTGTTATTAGGAGAGATAAAAATTAATGGGAAAACTCCAAAGTTCACATCGTTTTAATTTGCTTGTTTGAACGCCTGCATTAGTGATCACTTCTTTCTGCTTTCTTTTCAGATTTAATGATTTGCTTATCATGTTCTGCAGTCCTTTGGTCTTCTTAAAAATTTATGTTATTCCAAATAGATATAATCTTAAGATAAACAATAAAATAGGGTGAAAAGAAAAGGGGAAAAAAATAGGAAAAGCAAAAAAAAGCAGCATAAATATGAGTAGATGATGATTTATAAAATTATGTTCTTTTATTTCAATTCAAAAGAAGAAGACAAACAAAATCTACTAAAAATGCACTTTATAAATATTATTCTACTTAACTTTGTTTAAAGATTGAAACTGATTACCATACAATCAAGTATTTCATTAAAGAGAAATAAAATGATAAAATAAACTTTGAATATTAAGTGTTGAAAAAATTGGACCAGGAATTGCGAATTAAAATAAAAGTCTATGTTTAACTCTAAACCTTGTTTTCAACATAACAGTTTTATTTTATTATTAAATCTATCTATCTTGCATTTAAATCCTAATCGAATTTGATAACATACCAAAATTAATGGCACATGTGGGAGGAAAGTGCCACAAATTCTCTAGAGTCATGTTTTATATCATTACCGCAGACGACGTAATAAGTTTTACCACTTTTGATCAATTTTCTGATAACTTCTTGGACAAAAACACTATCCACTTTCTTTTCTAACCAATCCCATCTCCACGGAATTTTTATATTTTGATCAATTTTGTGCCTATTTATTTTATCAGAATGAGAAATTATGTCCGTTCTATGAGTCGTCATTGTGACTAATTTTAATATATTAATAATTCTTTAAAAAGTAAATAATAAATATGGCTTATAAATATCTTAATTCCTTTCTAAAAGCTAGCTAAAACTAAAAGTAGTATTGGAATGAAAATATGCACAAGCTCAAACAGGAGAAAAATAAATTACCACCTGAGATTTTCAACGTGAAACTCGAGAAAACAGATGGAATCTTTTTTGTCCCGCTCTCCTATACTGTTTTGAAGTACTTCGCGTTGGTCCCGTTATTGCACGTGTTTCAGCAATAAATTGGAGCATATTATGAGTGTTAAAATAATTTGATTTTTTTATTTATCTTGGAAAAACGGAAATAAATATGATTATTTTATTTCAATGGTTGAATTTTCAGAAAAAGCGGAATATTTATAAAAAAAAAAGATCAAAATTTCAGAGAAAATTCGGAGTTTTCAATAAAAAGGCTGAAATTAGAGAAACAAAAGCAAAAAAAGTGGAAATCCGCTAAAAAACAGAAAAATCTCATCCCTGAGTTTAATAATATCAAAGTCAGTAGTTGTCCTGAAATTTCTGATAAAAATATTTAGTGCTTATTTGTTCTTTATTAGAGAACTGCAATTTGCTTATTTACATAAAACTGCATTAACTACAATGAAACACAATGAAAATATTGTAAATTGATTCTGAAATTTTTTGTTAGAATTATTTTTTCAATGCACTAAACTTTTGCATTTTGAAAACATTACAAAAATGAATAAAAATCATAATACAATAAAACTTATTTATGCTGATAACAGTAAAATTTCTAAACATAAACCAAAAAGCAAAGTATAAAATTTAGAAAAGCACTTCATTTCCATTTATACTTATGATTGTAGCAAATAAAATGTGTCTTAAAAAAGATTTAAAAAAAAAACTTTTTATTTTAACTACTACTTCAATAATTACATTATTCAACTAATGTTAAAAGTAATTAGAAAATGAACTTGTTGATCTATTTTAAGCATTTTTAGAACATTTTGCTCACATCAATTTATCAGTATACAAATTTCCGCAGGGAAAATTATAATTTGTAAGCATTTAAAAGTTATATATTTCTGTTTATTTTAAGAAATGCAGATTTACATTAGTATTTAAATTTAAAAGTACAAAATTTTTATGGAAAACTTAATGTTATTTTCTTTGGTTTATTCAAACTAAAACTATTTATAAAAGTAAAAAAAAAATTTATAAAAAAAAAGCTAATTAAAAAAAATAGCATTTAGTTTGAATCACATTTGTTCAAACCAGACAACCCTGAATATAGCACTTCCAAAAATGATGTTCAAATTGTCTTGTAATATTATTAATATGCTAATTAAATAAGATTCAATCATTGTATAAATAACTATTAATGTAAATAAGAAAGACTTCAAAAGTAAAGCTGATAACAGAAATGCCAATTCAATTTAAGAGCTAGGACATAAGTGAACCTTTAAAAAAAATCATGAATTCTAGGAAAAATATCTCGATTTAGTCTTATTAAACTATACATTAATTTTAGGTTTTACAGACCACTGAAGATGAAAGTACTAAGCGAGAGTCTTTAAATAAATTTCAAAGAGGAAGAAGGCTGATAGATAGTTGATGAATATGCTTTATACATAAAAATATGGGTGGGTCATTTGCAGCAAGTTAAAATACCATCATATTAAATATATGCCGACCAGGTGGCCGAGCGGTTAGTGCGCCTGACTGCGAAGTCGGGTTCGAATCACGATGTTTCTCTCTCTTGTGTTGTCCTCCGTTGTGTGTGATGTATGAATGTGACCCACCCTATAAATGGGTTTGTGGCAGTGTGGCGTGGGCAATGTTACTCGCCTCCGTGACTTTGGTTCACAGATGCCCACTGGGTAACGCGAAATGAGTAAAAACTCTGGCATCTTCCAAGGCGAAACGAATAAAGTTCAGTGTCTGCCATTGGAAGAAAAAAATAAATCAATTAAACATATAGATTTTGCAAATTGATAGCTTCCAGAAAAAAAAGGCATCTTTATATCTTATTATCAACCTTGAATCTTTAAAGCTAATTTACTCAAAATTATTAAAATGTCATTTATAACTTTTTTTCACATAGCAATACAATTGAGAATATTTATAACATTACAAAAACTAATGAGTGAATAATCTTATCTAAACAACATTCTTAAATCCAGGAACTTTATAAGTTTTGACCCTTAAAAAATAAAAACATTTAAAAAAAAAAAAAAAAAAGGCATTTTCAAGGAAAAATGGATTCCTTAAAACTTTTAAATAAGTAACCAAATTATTAAAAGAAAACAAGGTAGTTAATGAATTTCTTTTAAACAATAGCATTAAAACAGGAACTTAATATTAAATATAAAAATTGTAAGAGAAAGTGAGGAAAAAATAAGAAAATTTATACTTGCAGACTGAAGAATTTATTTATTATTTTCCTAATGTGCCTTTAATTTCTAAAATACAAGTTCCAACTTTTTATTGGCTAAATAAATAATGGTTACTTAAATAAATTTTTCTGTGTATTTTATTTAGAATAAGAAATGCATCAAAAAAATTTTCAGTTCAGGGATAATTCCTTAAATTGAAGAGATATTCTTCTTAAATGAAGGGGAAAATATTTCAAAAAGAGAGAAAAAAATTATATTAAAAGAAATAGTATAACATATGTAATTAAAAATCGCAACTTTAAGTAACTAAATTCTAAAATTAAGGTATAAAGAAAAATAAGGATTTTCAGGGACCACTACAAAAAGATCTGGAATTTAATAATACAAAATTCGACCTCAATCTATATTATCAATGGATTTAAATTTTAATTTGACTAGTTTTTATAAATTTTACAAGATTGCTCTTGTAAAATTTATTAAGTTTTGGTGCAGTTATTTTTTAACAATTTTAAAAATTAAAGATATAAAATTAGGAAAAGAAGAAAATCAGAAAAAGGGAAAAATAGAAGTCTGAGGTTCCCATTTAAAACGGAGAAAGAAAAAAAAGAAAAGTAAAGAGCTCACCCCTTCAACTGCTCCAACTATTAAATGAGTGCAAGACTTAGAATAATTGAGAACAAATGTTCCACCATAAAATGACACCATTGCCCAAATTTTCTTTTTATCTTCTCTTTCCATCTGTAAAATCAATACAGCAAAAGTTAATTTTCTGCATTAAGTCTTTATACAAATTAAAAAAATAAAACAACTAATTTCTTTTGAATTCTCCTGTTAAAACTATTTGTTGATGTCATTAATAAATATGGAGGAAAAATTCAACAAAAAAGTTAACAGAAATTTTTATGAGTACAAAAAAAGAAAACACTACTAAGATGCAAAGTTTTTCTTATCGTTCAGCCTGGTCTTTGGTTCAATTCTTGCCATGTTTCAGTCTTTCCAGTATAAGTCTGAAACTGTAATCCAACTGTCATAAGTGTGCTATTAAAATTAAGTTACTGATTCAATGATATATTTAAAGTACTGAATTGTACACATTTCACTTTCACAAGTTATTTCACATTCATAAGTTCTAAGTTTGCATAAAATTTTATACAATTCTGTACAAATCATATAAAAGGACAGGAAAACTTGAAAACAATAATTTTCAATCCAATACCAATTAATACATTGCTTTGTGTCACAATTTTAACATCAAAAATCTTATTAAGGAAAAGAAATCTTTTTAACTTTTTCTAATTCCATTTTTTATAATAGAACATTCATTATCTAAATCTCTTAAAATCTGTTAACTAAAAGTCAATTCTGAAGCAGTTTTTTAGTAAGTGCGTATATTTTTCTTAAATTCTCAAATTCAAACATTTTGTGGTAAAACTGTCTACTTTGGTTTTGCTAAAGAAATCTGAAAGTAATAATATCCTTTATTTCATGATTACTAGTTTAGTTAAACCATTATGACATCCAATCTTTGCTAAAAGAGTTGAGTTATCTGAGATAAATTTTCATAATACATCGGAATTGAGAGCCTTAAAAAGTTTGAAAATATATGTAATTATCTTATGATTCAGAGTTTAATGCTGCAAATAATTTATTCAAAAAATATCTAGAAAAGTATCGACAACAAAAGTAGAAGTTAATTATTTAAAAAAAATTATTATTTTAAAATATTAATTATTAATTATTTTAAAATAAAATATTATTGCACCAGTTTGAAAGAAAGGCATTTTATAAATAGACATTAAATTTAAAAAAAACATCACTATTATTCAAAAAAAACAACAACTTAGAATTGATAATAGAATAAAAACAATGGTAACTCTCTCAATTATCCGATGACGGTCTGATCGCAATTACTTCGAATAATCGAGGTTCGACTGAGCTTTCAAAATCTAGATAGGTTACCTTGTAATCCTGCAACTAAAGTTGTTTGGACTTTCAGATTTGTTTTCATATGAGCCCAAGTAAAGAAATTAATGACATTTACTGCATCTTATTCGCAAGAGCCATTTTTATATATGCAGAAAAAAATTGTGGCATATAATCTGTGCTAATATATCGTTCTATGATACAAGGGTAAAATTTTGAGTAGGTAATAAAATAAAATGTGCATTTAAAAACGAAATATCAAATAAAAGAATCATGAGCTTTTAACAATTAAATAAAACACATAAAAAAATGAAATATAAAACTAAAGGAAATTACAAACCTTTTTAAATTAACTAATAATTTTATGAAAAAATACATAATTATACGATAAACAAACACCAGTACTAAATAAACAAAACCTTCGAAGTCCGATTTGTTATCAGAGTTTAATAATTCTAAAGCATTTAGATTAAAATTTAAATTAACATGCTCCATTTTGTCGTTTTCATTGTCCAAATCAGTGAAAAAGTCAATAATATATTTGTATTTATAGGTTCATTTTACACACAATGAAGCAACATCACAGCCTTGCACAAAGCATTCATTATAGTTTAGGTTGCGACCCTATCCTTTATTACCCACTCACATACTTTCGAAAAAGTCGCTCAATGAACTTTTTCCGTCTTAGTGTAAATATGTTGAACATTAATTCGGTCTCCCCACAATCCAATTGCTTGTGGATAATTTTGCAGAAAAAGTTCTACATTTTTCCTTCATTGCGTTGGTGATGTGAGCCTGCATTGAGTCCATAATCAACCATCTTTTAAGATTAAAGAAGATGCTTTTTCCCCCCATCTCCATACTGATGACAAACGGGAAGTCATGACATCATCCAATCTATCCCAGTCACCAGAACACTGATTACTTTTACAAAATTCTCTTATGGCATTGTCTCTTGCATGAAAATAACAAAGGGTTAAAACTTTTCCTCTGTTGCAGAACATACCAAAACTTTAACTGAAAATTATAAAAACCAGTTTTATTGCCTGATGATGTTTCATAAGTGCCTTGCTGTTTACTTTTCCCATGTTCCCTCCTATAAACAATTTTTTTTTTTTTGCTTTTTGTGAAGCACTTGACTAATAATACACTGTGAATATCTGAGAAAATAAAAACATGCTGTATTAATAACACAGAATAGTAGTTACAGATCCTTTCTGATATTTAACAGAATATCAAGATGTCACCAACAGAATTCACCAGAGTCTCTGAACTCAACAAATAAACGGGTCAAAACAATAAACATTTGCTGCATAGACTTTCAGAGAATGCCTAATGATAGCTTCAAGAGTAAGGCTTGCAGAGAATTTTTTTTTACGGAATGCTATCAGACAGTTAAGATGAGTGCATTACTCATCTTAACTGTCACTCAGACAGGAAATTTCTAGTTCAAATACATAGGAGCCAGCATCTTCTTAAAATGTTGGTCATCTACTCAAATTATCCCCCTCATTGCAGAACAAGTAACTCAACAACTGGTCTAATTACTAAATGAAAGAGAGAACATCCGACAGTATTTAACCTACTATCTATTTTGCATAAATTCGATGCTAACAACTATTAAAACTTAACGGCAAAGAGTTGGCTGACACTCTTGCAAAGAAGGGACTAGACCATCCAGTTCCCTCCACCTCAGAGCTTACATACCTTGAACTTTTTGCAAGGCAAAAGGCCCAGAACAAACAAAAGTGGCTGCTTCCACCTATTCACTACTGGTATAAAGCAGAAAGACCAGGACTCTCTCTATCTCTCCCTGGTGATAGGCAAACCAACACCTGCTTATCCCGACTGGCCAGTGGACACCTAAAAAGTCTCACATTTTCTGCAAATCAAAAAATCTTTCCTCTTTGCCCTAAATGCCAACAAAACCAGGCATCACCTGAGCACATCTTGAACTGTTTAGGGCTGGACTGGAATGACATTCATTCCTCTCCCATTCTGGTTTCGGATTTTCTGAATGTCAACGGATTCATTGATCTGGTCTGACCCCGTCAGACCAGATGGGAATTAGCAACAACAACAACAAAACTTATGCGGAAAAAAGAATGGTAATTTTTATGAATGAGATTTAACCCACCGCAAGAAAAGATAAATTATAAATCATTATGAAAATAAAAAATGGAATTTTGACAAGTAACAGCAGAGGGACACTTTTGAATTCATGATTTTAGTTCCATCTGCTTTCTTAAGCAGTGATTTTTTAAGAGTTTGACAATGTATTTTTAATTTCCTTGAATGTGTATACTTTTATTTTTACTTCATTGATGATTTCTAAATTATACCGAGGCTGGTTATAAAGAAAGATCTCATATGCTTGCAAAAAAAATTTCTTTCAGACAGAAAATTCAGCCACTGATACAAAGACAAGTAATTAAAATATAACACTATTATGTAAAAATTTTAACTGGTCTATTTACACACCCCAACACAAAATTAAGTTTTCAAACATAATATTTAAATTTTTTGTTAACTAATCAAAAAATTCAAATAAACTTTAACTGATTAAAATGTCATAATTATGTTTTAATTAGCAGATTTAATATTGCATATTTACAAAAAGTAGAGCATTATATTAAATTAAAAAAAAAGAAAGAAATTTGTGTAAAATTAGGTGAAAAAGTACAGAAAGATTATATTTAAGAAAAAAAATTACAGGGAACGTGTATATCTTTTCAAAATTATGATAAAGAAACACAGACCAAAACATCAAATAGCCCAAACAGTTTACTATCTCTGTACACCTGATTGATTGTGTTAGGTCACTGAACAGAGAGTGACCAGAGTTGGATTTTAGTGATCTCGTACTAATAAACCACTGTTCATTTTAACTTCTACTGAGTAAATATAAAACGAAAAATATATCTATCGTATGCCGATTGATTTCACTTCATCGTTCTTTTACAATTCTAAAAATAAATAAGCAAATTTAAAATTTTAACAAGTTTCATTTTATTTACAATTTTATCTGATATAATTACCTGAGATGCACTAACAACTAATCCAGAGAAGAGTTGATTCTTTACAGCACTGAATCCAGTTAAACTTTGAGAAATATTAAAGAAAAATGTGGATGAAAAAACAAAATTTCTTTGCAGAGATTTTATCACTCTCTAGAAATATAACTGTTAACAGGTAGGGACTAGAAATTTCTAAATTCTTCTGCAATAAAACACATGAGAAGACAAGAAAAACTTAGCAGTCATGCTCAAACACTAAAATTTATGTTTATTAAAATGAGAGAATGATAACACGGTAAGAGAATAATAATTTTAGTTATAAACATGTTCAAAATATGAATTTTAATTAATGCATTTAAGTTCATGGTGGTTCTTTTCAGCTTTTTAAAATAACCAAGTGAAACAAAAATGTCTTTTTTAAAGTCTTTAAATCAATCCATCACAAAAATATCATTTTTTCACAGTGAGGGAAAGAAAAAATAAACATTCTTACAAGGACTATCATATAAGAAGGAACTAGAACACTTACCACTTACGCCATTCTCTCACTTATGAGGGAATGAGAAAATGAACATTATTAGCATCTGAAGACTATTCCCACATATAAATTTTAAAGAAAAAAAAATATATATATATATATTCTTTCATTATTCCATTAGAGAAAATTATTACACTTATCAGCAAATTTTTAGAAAATAAACTAACTGCACAAATTTAAATGAAGGAATGAGCATGTCAATTTATGACCTATCCAATTTGCTTATTCATTGCCATTGCCATGCTACTTGCACACCAAAGAACTCCTAATTTACTCTAATTCCTTTTGCAGCTTTCTCAGAACAATTGCACTGTTTCTACCCAAATAATTATGTAATTGATCTAAAACATTCTGAATCTCTATGAGCATTAGACTAAATGAAAAACTTTGTACCAACACATTGCGGAAAAGACAAGCGATCAACCAGAGCGCCAGGTAATGGGGCGCCGAACGAGACCCAGATTTTAAGTTCTCTAAATTAATTTTTTTTTTTAAATATTGTTTGCTTGAAAAATATATTGATAGGTTTTTACTTTTTAATTATGTATTCTTACATTAACTTTCTTTACATTTAAAGTTTCTTTGCCATTTTATAGGAGATGGAATGGAAAGTGTACAGTAGAAAAAATTTTTAAACTTCACGTTTAAGATTAACATTGCTTTAAGAAAAGTGAATAAGTATATTGACAAAGTCATCAATACAACAGTGAATTTATTTCTGTGCAAAAGAATGAATTTAAAAATTCATAAAAATTTTTTATAAAACCTATAAATTGTGTAATGACAAGCAACAACAATTTATTATTTTTTAAATTTATTTTTAAAAGTAGAATTTTCTAACTTTGTCACCTAAAATCACATTCTTTAAAATGATGTCAAAAATTATATTCCTCACAACTCAAAAATTTTTTGACTATTATTAAATAAAATAATAAAACATAATAAAAATATACTAAAAGTTTGCATTTAATTATCTTTGGCTTAACAAATTTATAATTGTGTGCAAAATTTTTTTAATTTGCTCAAAAAGTTCTAGAGATATGGTGAAATGTGCAAACAATAAAATTAACATTAAAGGATCAGGGGGTGGATCTTTGGACTGCTCCTCTGACCAAACTATTGGGTACATATTTCTCAGAATGCGGCTATCCCCTAGAATTTAGGGATCAGAAATCTGAATCTGTCGGGGAAAAAAGGTATGTTTATTCAGAAAAAGTACTAATTAGTGTTGTTTTTTCTTTCTTTTTAACTTAAAATATCGTTCGCTCTAATAAATTGGCATAGTTAAGTTCACCATCTCGTGTCATTAACATTGAGTCCTAGAACTTACAAGATCCAATCATAAGATCAAAAGTTATTCAGGGTTGTTCGTTTACTTATGTATTTATTTTTGCCCACCACGATAGCAGGTGATCATGTAAAAGACAAAATGAAATCCACTTTCACTTGAATAGTATACTTAAATATCATCTTAATTTTTGACTGTATGATTTTAAACCTCAAAATACTTGAACTACTTATTTAAAAAGGCAGATCAATTGATCAACGGAGCTGGCTAATATATTATACAATTTAAAAACAAGTGTTTTAAAATATCAAAATGAATCTCATCCTCAATTTAAGATGTGCACATCTCACTATTGTCTGTTTGAGACTATTTTAACTGAGTTTTTCTTTCCAGTGCAGGTGTACAAATTGAAATTTTTCTATAATAATAATTACGTTTTCTTTTTATTTCGGATGTTACGTCATTAGTTTCAGTTTATGAAAACATACAACTATAATTTTACTCACATTTTAATAACATTTCCTATTTAATTTTTAAAAATTTTCAGAAAATAATCAATAATTAAATATATAATATTTGCCTTTTTGGATTTTAGACTGGGGCAGGGAAATAATCTTTTAAATGAGTATTTACATTGTTACTACTTTTCAAATTAGTCTGTTCATTAATCCCTTTCGGTTTCTTCAAAAAGTTTGAAAATGCTAAATCTTTTCTTTGAGAGATTTTCAGACTGAATTATTTTGAATTTCTTATGTTATAACAGTAAGCTTCATTTAAACTAAATTTACACTTTTTCTGTCCATAAAAATGAGTTTGTTCTCGTTTTTAACGAAAAACACTGCCCATTAGCTTTCAATTGTGACTAAGTGCCCTACAGAGTAAAAAAATGGAAAAATTAATTAAAAATATCTACCATTCCACCAATTTCCTCGAAAATTCATACAGTTTTAAAGTTTTTTTTAAAGGTATTTCTATAAAGGTATTACCAAATTTCGAGTTATCACTTTTTGGCTCCACTCCCAACCATTTCATTGTGAATTCATGTTGCTTTCTGATTCTTTTTTAGCCCTTTCTGCTTGTTTTTAAATTCTGCAATTTTTAATATGAGGTTACAGCAATACACAAATTGGAGTAATTTATTTTTAATCCGCTTGACTTGCATTTTTGTTGAAACTTTTTTTCCATTGTAAATTCCTGTCGATTTCCAATTGTTCTTTGGCAGTTATCGATTGTATTTAAAACATCAGAATTTGTAAAAACAAAGTTATTATGACACACACAATTTTGATGTTATTATGTTATTCAAATTTTGTAAAAATCGTTTTTTTATGATTATTTCTATTGTTATTTCTTTAGCCATTTATACATGTTTTTTTCTCTTAAAAGAAAAAAAAATTTTTTTAATATCCTTAACATGATACGTAAATGAACTTTTGAGCTCGGTTTGTATTTTGCAACTATTTATCACACATTCATGCTGTATAGTGATTGTTTTCCTGTAGTTATCGTTTTTTGGCCACTTACATATAGCTTTGCAATTGTTGATGTTTTTAATACGATGTTATTACACATGCGGATTTTGAGTTTTCACTTCTAGAAGTGCTAAAAAAGAAAAAAAATTATGATTTTTTTTCAAATTTGTGACTTTTATGGTTTTAAAGAGAAGTAGACACTATGAAGAACTAGATATTGATTGATATAAATAACAACATGCCTGAAACTCAAATGCAATGACATAATAAATTGAAAAGTGCGGAGGTGCAAAGCAGAGAAAAAAATTCTCCAGCAAGTTAAGATTGGGGAATTTTCTTCTTTAAGTAACTAAAAAATTTTCTGCAATACTTAAAAACATTAACTGCAGGTAAAAGAAAGAATTTTAATTTTTTCCTTTTAATAATGATTTATGTTCAAAATTTTCTGTGATGTAGAAAAATATTAACTACTGAGTAAAATATGAGAATTTTGAGCAATTTTATTTAAAATGAGTAATGCTAAAAATTTTTTTGCCAGTGGTATATTATACACATAATTCATATACTTTCGTATATTATACATATTTGCCTATGAGTGAAGGAATTATATGAATTATGAGGTTTAAAATTTTTCACCAAATAGAAAAAAAAAAACTTAATAAATAGAATCATTTTAATGACAAATAGAATCAATTTAACAAATAGAATCAACAATACAAGGGTTAATTTTAAAAAATAAAACTTGAGCAAAATAAAAAACTTTGCTATTTCAGAAAAAAGGTGGGTTTTTTTTTTTTTTTTTTTTTTTGTATTTGTAGGGGGTAAGAGTTGAAAGTGAGGAAATGAAATTCCATAGAATTAAAAATTAATATAAATATATTTATTCTAAATAACACATCAAACTTATGAGGTAATGCAAAAAAGATATCTTCAAACTATATACTCAACACATAATGTATTCATTTTTCTATAGACAAAACTGAAATATTCTTCATTTACATTATTTCAGCCCTTTGGCACAGAATTACCCAGTAACATGTTATTATATATTGTTTAAGAAATTAATTGTTTATTAACAATATATAAATTAAAAAATAAATTTTGATATAATCCAGGTGAAGCAGCAACAGCTAAGAACAGAAAATACTGCTGAATTACAATGAAAATAAATTTAATAAACTTACTTTTAAAAAATTAGCTTATATTTTAAACCAATTTCAGAATGTGCTAATTCTTAGATCGATCGGTATAATAAAAAAATAAGAAAGTCAGAAAGTGATATGTGGCAGGAGTGATTAAGTAAAATATAACCAAAATCACAACTTTAACGGCTTAAAATTTAAAATTCACTTAAAGAGCAAAAAACGTGACAACTGAAAAGATTTGGGATTGATTTCCTGATAATTAAAAACTCATTCGCTATATTGAAATGAAGGGTTTAGCTGGGTGTTCTAAAGGGCGTTAAAATAATGTCTATGGAACAGAAAATAGGACTCCATGTAGCAGTTGTTATATTGGAAAGGTCATACTAACATATAATATTAAAGAGTGTAGACTAACATATAATACTAAACATAAATATAATACCAGATAATACAGATTAAGCATAAATATAATACCAGATAATACAGATACTAAATACAAATAATACTACAGAAGGTAGGCTGTATATATAACACATAAATTTTTAACTATAAGAGCTGGACTCTAAGAGTTAGACACATAAATTTTTAACTATAAGAGCTATAGACTGGTTTTAATCAACTGAGCATTTCTGGGATATAGAAATTTCATTTAAATACACTTCCTCATTGAGTAACAATGAGAAAAAATAACAGTTTAAAAGAAGGTCTTTTGGTGTTGCAAGTGCTCAGACGATAAGTCAAAATAGTTAATCAAAAAATTATTAAATAATACTATCACTAAGAAAAGGATACGGTAACAGTTTGTTACATTTGGCTGATGTTAAAACCCAACGGCTCTGAAAAGAGAATATATAGGCTATTAATACTGATTTTTATTATATAATGTTTAAAACATTTAAGAATAAATATATATATATACATAAAATAATCAGTTATAGATCGATAAAGTGATTAACAAATATGGATTTATAAATAATGGACTTAATTGGATGAAGGGTGGAAAATCTTATTTATTTAAATTTTTGTGTTAGAGATATCCGTTTTTACAGTTATTATTTTTTCAATAAAAAATCAGTTAACTCGAGTTTACAACAAAGTCCTCATTTATTATCAGGGTAGGCATAATTTAGGCAGGATAGCCATAGTTAAATCATAATTTAAATCACTTGAAATTTAAAAAGAAAAAAAAAACATTTAATCAAATCAACTGATTTTTTTCATGTGTAATGTTGAAGATATTTTAATACAATATAACCAATGAGTTTCCTTCTTAATCCCTCTACATGTAGCTTTATTGAGCAAGGGGGTGCAAGAGCAGTGCAAAATTTGGACCCCTTAATGCTAATTTTACTTTTCGCATATTTCACCATTACTCGAGAACTTTTTAAATAAATTGAAACATTTTTGCACAAATTTATAAAATTTTTCATCCAAAGATAATTCTATGCAAAATATTACTTTAAGTAAATATTTATTATTTTTTATTATTTCATTTGTAAAGTCTACAATTGTTTACATAATTTTAGTGAATGCAATTTTAAAAGGCAAAATAGAAAATTTGAGCGAATACAGTTGAAAAGTTCCTGAGAAAATGAATTTGAAACAGTTGTATTTTCAAAATTCGATTTCTTAGGTTGATTTATTGGTAACTATTTGACAGAATTTTGCTCCTATTTTGTATTTTGTCATTTAAAAACTATTTAAAATTATGTAAAAAATTATATACCTTAAAATTACAGTAGTATTTTATTTATTATTAAATAAAATAATAAAAAATATTAAATATATACTAAAGTTTTATTTTGCATTTAGCCGACTGGACTGTGTAGTGGAGTAGACATAATTATAAAATTTTCTTATACAAAGATAATTCCATGCAAAATATTACTTTTAGTAAATATTTATTATTTCATTAGTTAAGTAGAAAATTTTTTACATAATTTTGGTGGAATGCAATTTTAAATGACAAAATACAAAATCTAAGCAAATTCGGTTGCAAAGTTCTTTAAAAATCGAATTTGGAAAAAGTCATATTTTAAAAATTTGATTTCTTAAGAATTATTTGACTGAATTTTGGCTTTTCAACAATTATTCAATAAAATAACAAATATAAACTAAATGTTATATTTTGCATGGAGTCGACCAGACTGTGTAGCGGTCGGGGAGCTGACCTCACATTAGAATGTTTTCTGGGTTCAAATCCTGGACAAGGCATGGATGCTCTTTCATTCTTTTTCTAACAAACCTAATATGCGCCCTTGAAAGAGTGGTCAACAAATCTGTTCTACTGATACCTGAATGACGAGTGTCAAATGAACGGCCATAGGAAAAAAAATATTTTGCAAGGAATTATCTCGGCATAAACAAATTTTATTAACTGCATACAAATTTTTTTTCAGTTTGCTTAAAAAGTTTTTGAGATAAGGTGAAAAACGCAAAAACATTAAAGGGACCAAACTATTAGGACCATATTTCCAAAACTGTGGCTACCCCCTACATATTAGGGATCCATAAAAAAAAAAGGTATGTTTATACAGAGAATGTACGTTTTTCTGTCTGATTTCTTAACTTTAAATATCATCTCCACTAGTTAATCAACAAATTTGAGGTCCCTTCCTCAAACCATTAAGATTGAGTCCTAGACAAAGTGCATAGCCAAATTATTCAACAAAAAATAAGCACCTTTTAAGCACTTTTCAAGCACTCAAAAAATATTTTTAAGCGCTTTAAAAAAATATCATAATTAGGCAGGGTTGGAAAGTCAATTGACGGTTTTATCTTGTTTTAACAACCATGTCAAAAAAAAAAACTTTTGGCATTGTTTTTGACAATTGCCAAAAATCATGAAATTTTGAATCATGTTAAACCAATGGCGTTTTCATACGCTACAGACTGAGAATGTGTCGAAATAGATTGGGGTTGAATTAATTGTGAAAATGTTGTATAGAACAATGTGAGCTGTGTCTTTTTGCATAATTCGAAGCGAAAATCAACATAGTTAAGGAAAAATCTCATTTTGAAAAAGGGAAAATTAAATAATTTTTAAAAACACCCAATGAAAAAAGCACCTTTAAGGGCTTTTAAAAAATGAAAATCAAAAATAAGCACCTTTAAGCACTTTTTAAAAACGCCATGCATCCTGCTAAAACATGAAGATTCAATTTGCTCCTTTTGGTCCATTTATTTCAGTTAAAGGGTGGTTCATTTATTTTTATCTATTTATTATTATTATTTATATTTTGTGCACTGTACTTTCTTTTCCATTATTACAGGAATCCAATAATGCAGTAATTCTTAAATATAGGGGCAAAAGCATCCTACCAAAAACTAAACAGCCATAGCAAATGTTTAAGTTACAGTTTTATTATTTCAAACAATGACACATATCAAAGATTTCAAAACAATTATAATAACTTAAATTATTAATAAAAAACTTAAAAGCCCTATTAAAATTAAAAAGTGGTAGAAAATTTAAGTTAACGAAATTATTCAGTTTGAGCTTTCATTCCATTTTCAAAAATGGCACAAAGCCAAGTTTTAGAGCTAAGTTAGTCAAAATTTCAACTTTCACCTAAAATCTGATGAAGAATGTAATTTGATTACTTTTAATAAGAAGCTGCAACCACTGCAATTGTTGACATGTTGAAAAACTCAAAACATTAAGCCCTGGTCGACTAGCTCTGGATTCTTGTATAACCACTTTTGATTTCAAGTAATAAATTGCTTGTAATAGTGTATAAACATATAGTGATTAATTTGTTAATTCAACAACAATGACAGTATAAATAAGCTATCATAATTTATTATTTAGTTCAAAGTTCATTTTAAAATATTTTTATTTATTACAACTTTTTTTAAAAATTTAAGAAAAAACAAGCCCTTTTTAAACGAAAAGAGAAACAAAGGATTGAATAAGTTGCAATAAAACTAATTTTGAAAATTAATTTCTTACTGTAACCACAGGTTTTTCAAATAGCTCTTGAGCTTCACTGATGCCAGGATTATCCGGATTGTCACTGATTACGTGTGTCACCATATCGGACAAGTAACTGTTATGTGTTCCACCGCCAGATAACAAAATTGCTTTGATCTAAAAAATAATAATATTTCTAAAAAAAAAGTCTAGAGCATTCTAAAAATTTTTAGCATTTCAGTTTTTTAAGTTTTAAATTAATTTTTCCATCAACTGAATACAAAAGGCAAATTTGATCAAATGCACATTTTATATGCCTTTTAAAATATAGTTTTGTTGAAAAACCAGCCACTTTCATATTACCCAAAAATTATTAATCAATAATAATTTAATTATTGTTTAATGTTATTGTGCCTTCCACTGTCACTGTGCACACCAAGTTTGTCATTTTTTAAAATTAATTTTAGAGAAGTGTGTAATGGCAGTATCTATTACTTTACCATGTTCGCTTATGGTTCCAGGTTTTAAAATTTTTTTTAAATTAAAATTTACAGCTGTTATTATCAAACATTATTTTAACATTTCATTATTATACTCACTCCTCCCAACTTGATATTTTATTAATATAATATCCTATTAAACTACATCAAATTCAGTCTTATTTGTTTCTTTTAGTTAAAAAAACATTATTCAATATTATAAGTTTCGCGATTTCCTATTCAGTTTGATAAAGTGTGCCATGATTTCCAAAATTATTTTTCATTGGCAGCATTCTTAATACTAATAACAGTAGCAACAATTTTTTTTTTTTTTTTAAATACTGTTCATTTAAACTATGATTTTAATTTTTGTTCAATGTAATTTAATCAAAGATTAACATTTTTGTCTACTTGCAATCTTTAAGACCTAGTATCTGTATTAAATTTAGTAAAATTTATATTTGGCTTGGAACAAAACAATGAAATCCAAAATAAAAAATTGAATAAACCTTTCCCCAGATACCAAGAACGGATATTCAGTTAGTATAGCACAATCCCATTAGTAAATGGAAACTAAAATTAAAAGCAAAAATTTTCTATATTCTTTAAAATTCCACCAAATAAATCACCAATAAAGCCTAAAGCAAAATAAATAAATATATAAATAAAAACAATGAAATATAACACTCAAACATTTAACAGGTCAAAAAAAAAAAAATGGGTGAGAATTTCTCACCCTTTCTCAAAAACAGGGTGAGATTTCAAAAAGTTAAGTGAGATTTCTAAAAACTAAAAAAAACATGAGTAGATTTGAAAAAAAATATTTCTTTAATTATAATACATTTTTAACATCTTATAATTTCTAAACCATTGAATATTTTCTGCATCATCATATGGAAAATGTTCTATATCTACTTTTTCATCAGCTATTCTCATTAAGTTGCTCAAATGCAATTTGTTACAATATTTTGTTTTAATTCGGTTTTGGGTGCTAAGTGACCTTGCAACAGATGCTGAACTATTCGGAATCACTAATTAAATTTGTATCATTTGTGCTCACATTTTCCTATCCTCTACTACATCTACCAGCATAGAGTTTTCAATTATTTCTGTTTTAGAATAGTGAAGTTCATTGAAGTTATTTCCATGTTCTTACTTCTTGTTAGGTCTTCCAGCATAGTTTTCACAGACTTCAACTTTTATAAATTGCAGTAAATTGTCGATGAGGGAGTTTAGTAATTCATTAACAACTAAAAACAGAGCTAATTTTAAACAACTATGTTTAAAGTAGTTGATAAAGGACTCATTTTTTTTCTCAACACTTGTCATAGCTGTTTTCATGTTTTTTTCAAAATGGCGAAAAACAAACATTTTTCCAAAATTCGTGAGATTCATGCATTTTAAAATTAATAGAGTGTGTGAACTTCTCACGTTAATCATTTTTCAATGCGAGAAAAGGAAAAAATATGCGAGATTCTCACGTTTTCGCTCTGTAGTGAAAGCACTGATTTAAGGAAATGTAATAAGTAGTAAAAAAAAAAAAACTCACTTTATCCACAATTTCACTTTCACCTTCATCAATCAAGCAAAACTTTAGACCTTTAAAAAGGTCTGGGCTTATAGTTATCTCTCCCATTTTTATCAATCCTGAAAATAAAAGTTTACAGCATTATAAGTGATTTAAAAGGGAATTGCAGATGTACTAATATTAAAGTGTTTTCAATCGTAACTGAATTTGAGTTTAGCTATTTCATTAAATTTCAATTTTCTTTCAGTTTTTCAGGAGAAGATTTCCATATTGTGATTTGTGGCAGAAAAATCACCAAGTCTTGACAACTTTGCTCACAAGAAACTAAAAAAAAAAAAAAATCACAGAAAGGGATCAACTTGAAGGGTATAACTCATAGCCACCCTTGGGTAAACCTTTATGCACTTTTTTTTTTTTTTTTTTTTTTTTTTTTTTTTTTTTTTTNTAGTTGGGGGGGGGGGAGATCAGGATTTAGAAATATTCTCTTTCGCAGTGACAAAAATACTCCAATAAACAAAATGTTTGTGGTTACTCTTGTTACAAAAACTGAAAAGTTACTCTTATTACAAAATTAAATTTAGAATAACTACAGAAAAATTTTAAGGATGCATTTCAAACCATTGCATAAATACTGACAAGCATCACATCTAAATAGATATTTTTGATTTTAAAAAAAAAAACATTTTTAATTTAAGATAAGTATTATGTTTTTGATTATTCAATGTTACACTTAAAAGAATAAATTTATTTTTTATAATTTTTTTACGTTAATCGAAAAAAAAATACTTACTAATCAGGGGTCCATCCAGGTCGAATTTACTACTGTTTAGCGGTACCCTCACAAATTCAACTTTAGGAAAAACAAGTTTCACAAAATACTTTTTCTTAAAATTTTATTTTTGTATTCCATAAGAAGCGATAAATCCATATTTTTTGTTAATTTTTTAACATAATTTTTAATTTTCATAAAATAGGTACCTCTCAGAAAAGCCTAGACAGGAATAATACATTGACAAAGCAAACGAAACTAATGTATTAGTATTAGGAAATTAGAATTAAAATTAATTAGTTTTTGATTAAAATTATTTTTTTTTCAAGACCATTTACCAAAAATAACAATAAGAAACATTTTTCCAGTTCAGTTTTCCTTGCAATATTAACAAAAAAATGATACAGAATACATCATCCTAATTTTAATGAAAAAAATTAATCCTCTATAGCTTACTTTCCTTGAAATTGCCTGTTAGAGAAGTTGCTATAAAAAACAATTCTCAACATTAAGATATATTTTTTAACAATGTAAGATTTAATATGAAGGGAGAATTATTATTCTCTTCTTAAGAATGAACAAATACTTCAACTGTAAATTAAATTTGTATTTTCTGAGTGAGTTAATGTTCTTTTATATAATAAAATTTAAAATTAAGAACTCAACAGCATGAATATAAATACATAGTAAAATTGCTGGAGCTTCAGTTCATTATCTGGGAGTGAAGCTGGTGATGGAGCATTTGAAATATTAAGCCTCCAGGTTTATATTTCATGAACACATTTCATTCAATGAATAATTAGGTTTCTAACATAGTTTTAAATACAATTTTTTTCTTTAATATATAGAAAGCTATTCAGAATACACCTTATTTGAGGTTTTACACATTTAAATAACATTAAATCCAATGGGGAACATTATATAGTCTATAAAATAATAGTGTTGATGTAGATAAATTTATTCAGAACACAACTTGCCCGAAAAACAGAGGAATAAGAAATATTTCTCTAAAAACAGTTTGAATTAACAATAAATCTCATCGTGAGTTTTGAACACTGATGAGGAGAAGCTCATCAAAATGGAAACTGATTTGCGCTTCAAAAGCACCAGAATATTTCAGTTCACAAAACACAATTGTTAGTCAATGTGCATTTCATCAATAAATAAAACAAAAATAAGTTAAAAATATTTTATATGCATGTAAAAATTAATTATAAAGATATTATTAACTTCCCGCCACATATAGGAACAATCGCTATCCAAATCAAAAGAAAATAACAAAAATGTAAATAAATATTAATACTATTTTTTGACGGGCAGTTAACATTAGCTTGATTGTAAAAAAGAGAGCTGAAAGTAAAATTAAAAGAAAACTTTTTCAGCCTTTGGTCAATCTTAAATTGTAATTTGCAACTTTTCATGAATAAAATTTATACTAAAATGTTTCATTGCATATTATATAATTTTTTTAACGTATGAAAGTAAACGTATAAAAGATAGGCACCAAAAACGTAGCATTTATTGATTGAAATATTCTCTACACAAGCTATATGCTAATACTTTATTCAAATGAAAAGAATTTGATTGTAGTTGATTTTAATTGATAGATTGCTTTGTTTTGAACTTCGCTGGTATTTCATAAAATAAAAATCTTTTTAAAAAAACGGTTATTGTGTAAGTAAATTGAACATAAATTACAATTATCATTGATTTAGTTATTAATATTAAACCTTTTAACATATTTCTATCTTTATAATGGCTGTTTTGTTATAATTTATGAGGCATCTTTCTTTTCACATTATAAATCTTACCAATTTGTAAGACGTTAAATAGATCTTCTGTCTGTTTGTTCGAATATAAATTTTTCCTAAACCCTCTAAGATCCTAGAAAAAGTAAATATTAGCGTGTTAATATTAAATGTTTTAACTAACAATTTATTGTACACTCTGATAGTTATACTAATTTGTTTTTCATTAGTATAAAAGCTCCTACTTATGTAACTGAATGAGAAATATGTAATTGCAGACTAGGAATTATTAAAAACTGCGTATTTAAAAGGATTTTCTTGTTGCTACTTGTGTTAAAATAATCACCAAGTTTTGTGCAACAACTAAACATTGCTATATAAGGAATTAAAGACGAAAATTACAGAATATGATAAAAACCGAAATCAAAACTAGTTTCCGTTCCTAGGAAAGCCCACATATATTTTTTTTAAAATTTATTTCAACTAAATCATTTTGATGAATTCGTGTGAATAGGTACCAATAAGGAAGAATCACCAAAAATTTTCTAACATTAAAATTTTTATGAGTAAAACATTTTATTTAGTTCCTAATGAGAAACAATGTTTTGGAGTCTTTTCATGAACTTGCATATTATATATTACAGCCTGAAATTTTTCAACCATTATTTCACATATTAATATTTAATATCTAAAAAAGGATTTGTTCATTTGAGCCGACAATAAACTTCAGGTTTTGTTGACAAACAGATAGTGTCACACTAGAAACCAATTAAAAGTCACAAAATGATGCAAACTTAAAGCAAGCTACTATAATTTATATTTTAAATTTCTTCAGTAGTTGCACAATGAGGATTCAGTACCAAAATTCCCGTTGTTCTTGTATAGAATAATTGTCTTTATGAAAAGCAATTTTTTTCCTAAAGCATATTATTTCAAAGATGGTATTTTTGATTTGTAGATTTCAAGATTCAGGAACTCTCAGTAAAAAATACGGCACAGTACACAGAAAAATCTTATGTATTTAGGAATCTTTGTTTTTCACAAAAAATAACACTCTCCTAGATAATTTGAAAATGTGACGTATCATTATATTACCCAAAAACTTTCACTTTTCAATTGGCATCAAAAAAAGATTTCCTTTTCTCCTTCTACTTACAAATTCAATGATTTGCAATATTAATGAGATGATGCGAGGAAGTGGAAAGAGCTTATATTTTTTTGCTCCTGTGTGGATGTATAGTAAAGTAACTATAGTTAAACAGGGGTGATTGTACTCCAGTGGTACCCCGAAATTCCGGGTTTATCGTATAATTTTTTCGATTTCAAACACTAGATGCAGTGCATAAAAATTTTGCGTGAATACCATAGAATTTCGCATAACTTAAGACCATTGGTTCTGCAAATCAAAATCAAAACTTATAATTCGCCGAAATTTTGAAGATTTTGCCAAATCCTGTTATCTAGGGCGTTTTCATACACTCTTCCGCCAATTACGTAAAGAATTACGTCCCATGTATTCTTCTGCCAATTTGATTGTTTTGGTTTGACTGATTTTCGCTATTTTGAAAATTTGGTACGGCAATGGAATCTGCTAATATCGCAAATCTTATTAGTGCGATTTTAATATGAAACATCGATTTTCGTATTTACCTGATTTAAGCACAACGTGTTGTGATTCGTTTTCACCTGATTTAAAAAGCCAACATCGCGATTCATAACTCACACGAGTTTAAAATTCAAGGCTGCGATTCATGTTCATTCACGCATTTTTAAAGTCCAATTTTACAATTCGTATTCTCATGTTTGTAATATCAAACATCGATTTTTGAATTTTTATATGTGATTTAAAAACTACGCATTGCGATTGGTATTCACGAGATCTGGTGATTTGCATTTGAGCGATTCAAAAATTTAATATCGCAAGTTGTATTTTTGCCTTTTTAAATTCCAATATTGCAATTGATATTCATGCGATTTTTTTAATAATCTAATATCGTGATTCTTCTTAGAAGTAAGCTTCTTCTTGGATTAGTTACTCTAAAGGTGTGATATAATTTGCATTAGAAGGTAATTTAATTATAAATGTTAATTCAAAAAATTATGTTAAGTATGAAAGATATATGATAAACAAATTTATATCGATTATTTGCACATAAAATTTTCACGGTTTTCACTTTGTGCCACAATCATTACTGGTTAAATTAGAGATTTTAAGAAATATTCATTGTGCTCTAAATAATCTATGATCTAGTCAAATAGTACTGATAGTAGTCAAATAATAACGATCCAGTAAAATAATACTGGAAAAAAAACCCTGCCTTGAACTAATTCCTGAAAGCTGGAAGTGATTCTGTTTCTCTTCTAGTTAAAGGTCAGGATTAGAGGTCCCCATATGGCAACGGAAATAATGAGGCCACTAAGAAAATGATTATCATTTGCCATCTCTTCTTTTTGTCATTTGACACCCCATCCTCACCACACCTTAGTTCCTACAAATGCATGTAAAAGTGTTTATTTTTAATAATCTCTTATAAGGAATTTTTAAATGGACTAAATTTAAACACATTAAAGTTCAATCTTTGCATTTTTTTTCAATCTATTTAAAGACTGAGTGGATTTATTATTTTTTCATTATCATTTGATATGATATTCTTTAATGACGTTTTCTCCCGCATTTTATTCACAGTTAGTTTCAGTTAGCCATAGCAAACTTTTTTTTATTGAGGATTTAACGTAGAATTAATTATTGACAAAAGCAAACTATTTAATGAATGGACAGATGTTTGATTGAGGCAGGTGCAGTATTCCAAATAACAATGAAGTGGGAAGGGGAATAACAAAAATAGTAAATAAATACCTAAAATTAATTATTTCCACGCAAAAAAATGTGTCAAAGATTGAAGGTTGAAATTTGTCTGCAAAAATAGAAAAAAACAGCAAAAATAAATGAAGATAAAAAGATAAAAGAATAAACAATGAAAGAACACAGTGAAAAATAAAGCTGAGAAGAGCAGTAACAAAAATTGTAACTTATGTTTCACTAAGAAGCTTAATTTTCCGGAGTAAGCTCTTATATTTTATTTTGATACGGAAGTTAAAAATTGATTATGAAAAAAAAAACAAGTCTAAAATTGAACCTATTATACATTCTTTTTCCTTCTTTTAATTCTTATTTTTCCTTAAAGCATGATACATTATATTATATGATATATATATATATTGTATTATATATATATAATATAAACCTTTATGGGTTTACTGACAACCAAAGTAAAGACAAATAAACTTTTACTTTAGCATCTCAAATAAGTATAATATGAGTTCGCAATGGTTTCTAGGATAAGCTTAACTTTTGAGAGCCATATAACATCTAAGTGATGTATCAGGCTCAAAATTTTAGACGCACCTCAAAACCAAAGAGCAGTAAATTCTGCATCAAATGGTATCCTTAAAGATTAAAATTTGTTGAATGACTTGATCAGAATTAGTAATCATAACAGAAGTCATTATCAATCATTAATAGTCATTAACATTCCATCTATGACATGTCATCTGTTATAAACTGTACCAGGTGAAAGCCAAAATACTTTATATTACTCAATTATTCACCTCTTCTCTTATGACAGCTGAATAGAAAGAATCTTTTCTAATTTTTGATTAGTTCAGTTAAAACTATGAAGAGCCTCAGGAGGTTGAAAAACTTTTTAGGTTATGTTTATTTCAATAGAAAGAAATAAAGAGAGACTTTCTGATATTTTCAATTAAATAAAATTTTCATGATATTTTATATAGATTGCATTTATATTTTAACAAGTATTTATTTATTTAATATTTGCTATTATTATTTCTGTTTGCTTTGTCCCACATTATAAAACCATATCTTAGTGTTAATTTTACCAAAGTCATTACATCAAGTGCTTTTATAAAAATTACTGTGCTTTTTGATGTTCCCATAGAGCCAGAAACACGGCAAATTTTACCATAGTCTGGTAGTTTTGTCTATACTTTTTTTAGTGCATTTTTGCTTATAAATAAAAAAGGGAGGATTTCGAAATAAAAATACATTTTAGTCATATCCTTTTTTATGTAGCGTTAGCAACATTTTATATTGTTATTCTAAATAAAACATTTATAATTTTATTGCATTTTTCTTCATGTATAATTATATTAGGCTATTAAAAAACCTTCCATGTATTTTTTAAAAATTAAAAAATACATGGAAAGTTGTAAAGTTTATCACGTGTCCGGACCCACATGATGTGTATATGTAGTGGTGGGCAAAATAGTTTTACATCTAATTTACTGTACTAAAAATCGTGCTTTAAGGCATATGTTTTGCTACTCTCAAAACCTACAATGCAGAATACGTTGTCTCATCCCGTCCTTACTAATTGCTTTAACTTTTCTTTTACAGGATGAACTTTAAATGACTGTATCAAGCATGTCAAAATCTCAATCATCAGATGCTCGTGCTGAGCTTGCTGAACTGGTTAAAAAAAGAGCAGAGATTGCTGACACGCTGGCTAACCTGGAACGGCAGATTTACGCATTTGAAGGCAGTTACTTGGAAGATACTCAACTGTATGGGAACATCATTCGAGGTTGGGATCGATATTTGGCCACCAACCGGAATACCAGCAGCAAAGCTGACAAAAGAAATAGAAAATTCAAAGAAGCAGAAAGGCTTTTCTCCAAATCATCCATAACTTCCATGGCATCGGTGAACGGTGTCATCGAAACAGAAAGGATTAATGATACTGCAGTTGGTGAAGCTGTTCCCGTAGTAGACGGGGCAGTCAATTCTTCAGCAGTCGATTCCAGCAGTAGTTCTTCTTCTTCCACTGTGAATGGCAACAGATCTCCTCAGAATACACCAGAATTCCCTGGAAAAATAAAAATGGCACAACGTTTGAAAAAGAATGCTAAAAAACCCAGAAGAATGGTGGATCTTGAATAACTAACTTTTTTTTTTCTTCTTTGTATTCTTTTATTTTGCATTGGAAGATTGTAGATTATCATCATATTCATTTACCTGTAAATAGTTGTAAAGTCCATAATCCACAAAGTAAATGAATCTTCAAAAGTGTTTTTTTATTCTTAACTTTTCCTTTGGTGAGATAATTAAGGCATTCAAAAAAATTTTAATTTTAAATTTCTTGAATAATAAAATTGGAATAAGCATATTGTTTACTTTCTAATTGCTCTGTAGTTCTGAATGAAATCTTATCTTTTATGAATGTTGTTTGTTTCTGGATATTGTTGCAGAGTTAGTAAAATTTTGACATGAGTCAGCTTGGTTTTATGCATGGAAAAAAACCGTCTTGTCAAAAAACCCTGTGCTATAAACCTGAAAATTGCACTTATATATTGGTATACTTATTATTATTCAGATTTAAAGAGTCGGTCAATGTTAAATATTTGACAGTTTTGATTTTGTTAAAATTTTTAGGATAAGTTCTTGGTGTAAAACTATTAGATGTATATTTTTGTTATTTTTCCAAACAAAGAAATTTTTTTTCCAAAGTTATGAAAAGTTAAAACTCCAGGTCCTCTGAAATTTTAAGAAAAACGCAAATAGCAATACTTTTTGTGAAACCAGTGAATCACGACACTGTTCATTATTTTATGCTCTACTACACTATTTATTAGGACATAAATACTTTTAGTGAACCTTGGTATCTAATGTCATTCAAAAATCTTTGTAAAAAGGTTATTTTCTTAGACATTGATTGTCAAAATCTATTAGTACCAATAGTGAAGGTATATATTTCTATGAATACATACCAATAAGTTGTATGTAGAAAAAATAAACATAAGTGTGATGTATATTTGGCTTGACCTTAAAATTACCCTTAAAGAAGCAAGAAACTGAAAACTTTCAAGGTTATTAACTGCCTTCACCAAAACTAGACACAAGTATGAAATCCTTTAATATAACAGAAACAAAATCAATCAACAGACTTATGGTTACTGATTCAACTTTTTTTATAATGGGATCCTAAAATTTGAGACCCGTGCCTGAGTAATTGATTACAGAAATTGTTATGGGAAAACTAAAAATCGTTTTTTGAAAAAGTGGGTTTGCCAAATATTAATGTCTGAAGTTAACATCTTCCCCGAGCTGAGTTGCAGTCTCAATCTAGAACCGGGGGGGGGGAGACTTCCAGTTTTGCTATTTAGCAAAACAAGTGACATATTATTTCGATGTATTCTTTTTTACACTGAATCGAATAAAACTTTACCAATGTCGATACAACTAATATATCAGAAGTCATAAAAGCTTTTTCGGATAAATAGTACAGTACATTGCTGCACAGACAAAGTTTTAGATCCTATTGGTTTTTTAGAATTAATCAAATCAGTAAAACAAAGTCAAATAAAATCAAAAGTAATTTATTATTGACTGTTTCAGAAATATTTTGAACAAATTAATTGTTTTAAATAACTTCATTCAGGCAAGAGGTAAGATAGAAAATACTTGTTGTAGCTCTGTTTGTGCCTTTTTTCTCTCTTGGCTTAACTTTTTTCTTGTTTACATTCAACTAACTGTGCTATTGAACTCGAAGTGTCGGCTCAGGAATGGTAAGTTATTGTTTCCGATTTGTTTCTTTTATTACTCTGAATCGAATAAAACCTTAATCAAGTGGATGGAACATATTTCTATATAGACAGGGAATGTATTTGATCATATGTTTTTATTTACTCTAAATCAAAATCAAGTTAATAGGATTCATAATTTTGAAGTTATAAGATATAAAATGAGTTAATTTATTAAAAGTACAGTTTTTAACTTACACCCTTTTACGTATCTACATTTCTATCTAGGCAACCAAAACTGTATACGGGATCGAATGCTTGTCATGTCAAAAATGTAAACAGGTATGAGTCAAAATTTATGCTTTTTCAAAATAAAATTGAATTTACTCCTAAACTGTTCGCCCTATCGATCTAAATTTTAATTCGATTTAGCGTAAAATAATTTACTGTAAAAGCTCATATTTTCAAAATAATATATTAAATATTTCTGAAACTGTTTTGAAGATATCTGTTTTTATCTCATTTCCGTAATCTTAAAAATCCATAAGATCTAAAGCTTTGTCTGCACAACAATATACTGTTTATACAGAAATAAAATATATTATCATCAGATAAGAGTGATAATCTGATGTATTAGTTCTATCGACATGGGTGAGGTTTTATTTGAATCAGCATAAAGAAAAAAATACATCAAAACAATATGCCTCAATTATCTAGATATCAAAGTGTAAATCCCCCTCATCATTAAGACTGCAGTTCACCTCATGACAACTTTAGATATTCATATTGGGCCTAAATTACAGTTTTTTCATACAATTTACAGCATTCCTTTCACTTTTTTTGTATTCAATTACTCAGTTAAGGGTCTCAAATGTTAGGGTCATATTATAAAAAAGTTGAGTCAGTAACCATAGTCTGATGATTGATTTCGTTTAAAACAAAGACAGATAAACAAAAAATTGAAGAAAAAAAACAACAAGGATTGGGTTAAGCTACGATGTTTAGCTTATAAAATATTATTTGAATATAATACTGTTTTGAGACTTTAAAACTTGCACAAGGAAAATTTTCAAATTGTAACAACGAATATTTCGCAATTTCTTGAGAAAATGAGAGCTCTCAAATAAATGGAATCACTAAAACAAATTATGAAGGTAAAAAGAAAATTTGTTTCTTCTGCTCATAATTATAATTTTTACTTTAATAATTGTAAATTATGTATAGCATTTATGTTTTAAATATAAACTGTATAAAAAATAAAAACTTCACATGCATTATGAAATGGCGACTATCACCTTAGGTTTTTGACGTCAAAAATGCCATGTTACATTTTAAATTAGTAGAAAGTTATTTTTCAACAACTGCTGTTCTTACATTATTTTTAGTGTAGGGATTTAAAGCAATCAAGAGCTGGAGTACTTAGAAAATTTCTGCGATTTTTTTTTTTTAATTTAACTAATTAAAACGCTGTTTAGTTCAGCATTAAATTTATAGTTTTCCAAATATTAAAAGTTAATATTTTCAAACTTCCAAGAGTATACAAATTTAAAATAATAATTACATAAAATTACATTAATATATAATAATTATTATTATTATTTCCATTGTAAGAACACTGGTAAGTGCTTATTGCAGGGTTCGTATTTGTCCTGATATTCCTGGTTCTCTGATACGAAATATTCTGACCTTATTTATACTGATTTTTAGCGTTTTGTTGCATTCTTCTTTTTTTTTTTTCAGAACATATATTTTGACGAATACGTGATTTTAAAAGAATCATTTGGATTATTTTTTTTTTTTAAAAATTTTTCACAGGAAGGGAAGTAAGTTGGGATGTACCGGGTACATTACATAGAAAGATTTTTACTGCCTGAACTTGGCAAAAAAATGTCACTACCCAGTACTGGGTAGCATGTAAACTACATACATCTACAGAAATTAAAGAGAGATTTTGAGAGCGCTGATTGGATTTCTCCGCATTGCCTTCTGTCACGTCTTTTTACAGCTTCTCCCGAACATCATTTCTCCGTAGTTTGTTCCCAAAATGTAAATCAATCATAAATCAGTTCCTGTATATTTCTCATACTAATTTTAAGACAAATGTTAAAGTTTTGTACAAAAAATAGCGTTATCAATGGTCTTATAATATTAACAAATTTATTTAAATCTAATTTGCTTTAAATTTTATTCTTATATTTTTCTTTATTTGTTTAAAATATTTTTGCGCGTTTCAGTATAATATTTTTTAATATTTATGTTATGAATTTCAGATAAATGCAATGTAAACAACGTTTTGGTAAAGCATCAAATTAGTACAATTATAATTATTAAACATAAAGTTTTATCAGCTAACTCTTATATAATAAATATAAGACTTTATTAATAGACAAATTGAATAATATTATGAATCTCCTTATGTACTTAGAAATTAAAATCTCTTACTTAAGTTTATTAAGTATGATTGCAGAACCATTCAATTCAGTTTGAATTTTTTATATGAGATTTTAAAATGTCTGCAAATATTATTTTTATAGGTATTTTTGTTTATTTGAAAAAAGATTTTGTCATATAAAGGAAAATATTCTAAAATGTTAAAAAATGGAAGTATAATTCAGCAAAAAAAATTTAGAACATTTATAATTAATGAAATTTATTTTCTAGCGAGTACCATATTACAATAAATATAACACGTTGCAAGATAAAGTATTATTTATAAGTATTAGAGATAAAGTAATAATATTAAGTGTGACTCTTACTAAATTAAAATAAGCAAGATAATGACAAATATTTAAATTTTTTTTATTAAAATGTGAAATAATGCAGGCAATATTCAAAAAATTTTATGATATTTAAGGATGTTAAAATTTTCATTTTCATATCTTCTTTTTTGTAGATTGAGCGAATAACTTTTATTCTAATGATCAGATTTTCACAAACTAAGTACCGATAAATGATTTAGGGGCGTCATTAAATCTGCTAATCAATTAGTGCTAACTATTAATTACATCACAGGCATTTTTGTGATTTTATGAAATAGTATTGCAATTGAAAGTCTAATAGCAAAGCTTTAGATCAGTATGCTATATATGTAAAAAGGTTTTAAAACTTTAGTGGTAGATAACCACAAAAGTGATCCCTATACTTTTTTGTTATTCCCTATACTTTGTGTCGGTTAAAATAAAGCAGCAATCTGGAAAATAGTTTTAATCATAGGAGAGCGGTCGAAAGTATGGTGTTCATTTTACATAAGGAATTTTTTGAATCGAAAACATAACAATCAGTTCTGATTTTGTTTATATAATGATAATTCCTTGTAAAAAAAAATATTTATATCATTTTTAGTTATTTTTTTTACTTTTATTTTAAGAAGGACCGGAAAAATTTTGAATTGTGAGGTAAGCAAATTTTACATTAAAGAATGTGATTTTAAAATACAAAATAAAAAATTTGATCAAAACGGATTGAATAGTTTTTGATGATTAAAATCCTAAAGCCATAAGTTTTTTTCATTTATTTATTTACTTTCTTTTTTTTTTTTTTTTTTTTTTTTTTTTTTTTTTTTTTTTTTTTTTTTGAAATTTTAACACTTAGAAACTGTTTAACCGATTTCACTCAAAATTAAAGTTTAAAATCGTGTTAAAATTTG